ACAGCATGGTGCAGCATCCAAATCAGGCATGGGCATTCACAGTGCTTCACCTCTGTGCTGTCCTTATGAGGGCCTGGCCCTGCTCCCTGTCCCCTGCACTGCCCTGCCATGACAGCAGGGCTTTATCATGTGGAACAGAGGAAGGATCCTGCAGACTTGTGCCAATTGCTCAACAGGCTTCAGCTTTGAGGGTTTCACAACACTGGAAAAGGCTCTATTAGCACAACACTTCCTTATTTTACCACCTGAATTCTGAACACACTTTCGAGCAGAGATAGGAGTGCTTCCTCTGCATGCAAAAGCTTTCTTCTGGAGAGATGGTGAAGGGGCTGGGATGAGCCATGGGTAATGACAAGACTGGGGGAAGTCTGAATTCAAACCTGAAGCACCCTGAGTCTTGCCTAAAATGTAGGGTGCCTCCTAATGCTCTGGTGCCTCCTCTTCTCAGTGGCTGGGGAGGTTCAGCCCCCATCCCGGAGGTGTCAGCACATGATCCACCATCCCCATTTCATGTGTAGGTGAAGCGTACGTGGTCCAGAAAAGCTACACTGCTGTGGAAGAGGATGAGCTGACCCTCAAGGAGGGTGATACCATTGAAGTCATCCACAAGCTCCTTGATGGCTGGTGGGTGATCAGGTGAGATGCCATGAACAGGTCAGGCGAGCAACACTCAGGCAAAGGGAAGGGACATCCATGGTGCTCCACATCAGGGCTCTGAAAGCCATGGTGTCTTTGGTGCCACTGCCCAGCACTTCCTTTTGCAGGGCTGCTCCTCAGAGTCTGTTCTTTTCCAAATTTTAAACATTTCAGCTGGAAATTCCTCTCCTGAGGGCTTCAGAAATATCCAAGAAGGAGGCAGATGGAAAAAAAGCCATGCATCTGTTATTTTGTCTCTAATTGTTCTGGCACATTTTGCTTTGCAAAACCTCAACTTTCATCCCAGCTGCAAAGAATATTCGAGGTAACATGGCACCAGTAAGGGACAGGCCTGAACCATGAGTCATGGAAGGTGTGAGTTGGAAGAGTTCAAGGCCAGGTTGGACGGGGCTTGGAAAAGTACTTCCCCTATTCTAGGGGAAGGTGTCCCTGCCTGTGGCAGGGTGTTGGAATGAGGTCCCAATTCATTCTGGGACTACGTGACCACACACAAGAATGATCAAATCTCTCTCCTGGACCGAGGAGGTGGTTGCAGAGCCATGACTGCAAGTGATGTTCCTTTGTGTTGCACTGCAGGAAGGATGAAGCCACAGGTTATTACCCCTCCATGTACCTGCAGAAAGCCGGGGAGGTGAACACCTCTGTGAAGAGTGTGCTGAGGAACCGGGGTGCTCCTCCACGGAGGTAGGAGAAGCTCTGTGCAGAGGGCAGAAGAACATCTCCCCCTTCCTTGAGGGAGATGAAATTAAACCAGGCAGGGTGTTGTGGTTCACCTGCTTGCCCTGTCTGTGAGGAACTGCCTGGAGAAATATAAGCAGACACAGACAGAGCAGGGCTGTACTCCCACCAGCTCTGTGCTCCCCAGCTACCACAGGCACCCCAGCATTGTTGGTGCACGGCTCCAAGATCCTTGCTCCAACAGGTCCACCCATCAGGTGTATTTCTCCTTGTCTTTCTGCAAAGTTTCTTTTCTGGGCTAATCTTGTTTAATTTTCAAATTGGCCATTTTCTTGCTTCCTGCATGTGTGCACTGAATCTTTCAGAGGCAAGGAGAGATTTGACTAAATGGAGCTGCCAAGTGGCCTAATCTAATGGGAGGATTTGAGCTAATGCAAGGGATTGTATTTTGATTAAAAAGATAAAAAGCAATAACAACTCATGAATTCCAGTGCAAAGACAATGCCTAAAAAGGACAGAATTTGCTGCTGTCTCTTTTTTCTGCAAGATGACACATCAGGCCTGCTATAAAATCTCTCCAAATCCAGTTTTGCTGGAGCATGGGTTGAGTTTGAGACAGTGTAAAATGGTCCAGATCCACCTATTTGAACACAGAGATGTTTGCTGGTAGCCTTGGGGAAGATGAGGTGGCCTGTTCCGAGGACAGTGGCTTGTCCCCCTGCCATTGTGACTGCTGCCTCTGTGGCACTGGCAGCCAGGCCAAGCCCTGTTGTCAATGTGGTGACCTGTTATGGGCAAGAGCTTTGCTATGACTTGGGGTATGTGCTCAGACCGGGAAGGGGCTGAAGGCAGAGAAGCACATTTCTTTGAGAAGAGCAGGAGGACAATGCCATGGGATGGACATCAGGAACCACTTCAGTCCTGCCATGGCACTGAAGACAAAGCAGGGGCCTCTGTCTGCCTGCCCAGGGAGAGTCCCCAGTGCTGGGGTTTCCCCTGCAGCAGCCCCAGGCTGCTCAGCCTTTCACTTCTCTCAGTAGTTTCTGTCCTGTGGGTTGAACACCGCCCATCTGGGTGCACACTGACACATGCTCCATACTCCACTGCCCTGTACCTGACCCTTGAGCTTCAGGGAGCCATGCCAAGCCCCACAGCAGGGACCTCAATTTTGTGGCCAGGATAGGTGCTGTATGTTCATTCATCAAAGAGCTATACATCACTTCTCTATGGGCTTTCTTGGCTAAACCTCATGCCCATCTCATCCTTCCAGTCTTATGCCCAATCTTCCTCACCAATCCCTATCATTACTTTCCAGACTTGTGCTCAGGGCTCACCCTTCAGTGTTTGCTTGCAGAGCACCATCCAGCTGCCTCTGAACACATTGTAGATTGTGTCTCCCTGATGGCTGCCCTCAACGGCTGGCATCCACCAGGCAAAAACCAAAAGCAGAAACTGGGGTTTGGGTGAAGCAGAGGAGGAAGTGTGGGGAAAGGAGGGGTGTGCTGTGAGAGCTGCCAGCATTAAAACTGAAAGTTTTGTTTCTCACTCCTTCCAGATCCACCATCCGAAATGTGAAGAGCATCCACAAGCAGGGCCGGAAGCAAATCAGCCAGGAGACCTACAGGAGGAACAGCAAGAAGTACATCCAGAGCCAGCGGAAAATACGGGGAAATTCCCAGAACAAGGCCAATGTCATCAGTAAGTCTCAATGGAACTGGAATCCTGCAAGCATGACCCATGCCCCCCACCACTGCTGGCAGCTGGAGCAGGATGGCACACTGAGGTGACACCATGCCCACCTGCCCTTTTCCCATGGGGAAAGTCTGTGCAGGGAGGTGTTTCTTTCAATGAGTTTTCTTACCCCTGGCTATAGGTCAGACACAGCAGAATATGGTCCTGGAAGAGGTCAGCCCACATTTGAAACCTGTGCTTTCCTTTGTTCCTAACCTGCCCCGTGCTGCCATTACCACTGCAATTGCCATGTATGTTGCTGTCAGCAGAGCCCCCAGCAGGAAGTGTTACATGAAGAATCATAGAATTATAGAATTTGGTTTTGGTAGGAAGGGACCTTAAAGACCAATTCATTCAAAGCTTCCACTTGATCAGGTTGCTCCAAGCCTCATCCAATCTAGCCTTGAACACTTCCAGGCACAGGGCAGCCACAGTTTCTTTGGGTAACCTGTGCCCCACTACCTTCACAGAAAATAATTTTTTCCTAATATTTAATCTAACCCTGGCCTCTGACAGTGTGAAGCCACTCCCCCTCATCCTACCAGTTCAGGCCCTTGTAAAAAGTGTCTCTTCATGAAGAAGGAGGGAGGTAGTCATCGAGGCATACCCTTTAGATCTGCTAGTCCCTGTGCAGTATCCATGACCTTCCCAGAGCTAAAGATGGGCAGACCTCATGCAGACCTAGAGACAGGCTTTCCCTGAGCACAGCTCCCAGCAGGGCACTGCTGGGTGCATCCTGACACCACGACCTAAGGAAGACCCATACATGCAGCAGGGACAGGAGGAGAGGCAGGAGCTTTGGTGGCCATGATGTAGGAAGCTGCTGAATGTTCATGAGGGTGGTGTGTGGTGCAGAGATCTGACCCATCTGTACATCTTTTTTACTTGCAGTTGAGAAAGATGAGCCAGGGGACAACAAGCCCAAGGCTCAACCTGCTGTTCCTCCCCGTCCCAGCAAGGACCTCATCCTGAACCGCTGCACTGAGAGCACATGGAGGAAGATCCTGTGAGGATCCTGTGAGTCCCCACACCAGCTACCCAAAGCTTCATCTCCTCCAGCGCCTGTGCAGCTAGGGCTCGGAGCCGGACCAGGGATCCAGGTGGTTCTGGCAGCCACCACAGGCCAGGGAGGCTGCGGCCATATCAGCCCAGTCCCTCCTCATCCTCCACCTCAGCCCGCCCACGGTGTCCTGAGAGCACTTGGAGGAGGGACCAGCCCTGCTCTACCAGCTCCTTATAAGCACCAAGTCCTCATCTCTACATGCCCTTCTATTACCTCTTTGTATTTTGAACTATTTTTGTGGTTTTCATCAATAAAGGAGAGATACTTGATAGACCCTGAGGAGCAGTGTGGGCATGGCGGGAGGAAAGGTGCTCCTCCCGGTGGATATTGGGCAAGGGGCTCTTCCAAGAAATGCTGGCAGTGAGGAAATTTAGTTGGGGGGATAAAAGGACAGCAGCTTCTTCCTGGGAGGTGGCTGCTTGGCTCCCTCGAGAGGACAGCGAGGGCTCAGTGTTGAGACAGGGCTGCTTCTCACACGGAGCGTGGTGGGACGGCTGCACTTGCTTACCGCCCCAGCCAGCCCGGCCACCGCTGTGCCGGACGGGGCCGCCTTTGGGCGGGATCTCGGTTTGGCTTTGGGATGGCGCCGGGTCGATGTGTAGGTTTGTGCCTGGGTGTTTTAGTTTTGATTCTCTGGGGCTGGGTCTAAGTCCACACTGGGGTCTGCGGGTGTGTTTAGATTTAGGCCTAGGTCGGGGTGTAGGTTTAGGTGTGAGTGTGGGCCGGGCTAGGCTCAGGCCTGGCTGTAAGCTCAGCCGCAGCTCAGGGTCTGGGCAGGTGCGGACGCTCCCCTCAGAGCGCGGTGTGGCCCCTTTAAGAGAAGCGCGCAGCTGCCGCGCGCATGCGCGCAGGGGAGCTGACGCTGCGGGGGCCCGCGAGTGAGCGAGCCGAGATGGCGGCGGCCTGAGGGCAGCGATGGCGGGGCTGGCGCGGCGCCTGCTCTGCAGGGGCTTGTGCGTGCCGGCACGGCCGCCGAGCACCCGCCAGCTGCGGGAGGCCGAGGAGGCTGCCCCGGTGTTCCAGTACGTGGGGAAGGCGGCCAGGCGCAAGGACCGCGTGTTCGTGTGGGGCTTCAGCTACTCGGGCGCCCTGGGCATCCCCAGCTTCGTGAAGCCGGACGCGGGCTGGAAGAAGCCGCGGCGCATCCAAACCACGCCGTACCGCTTGGAGACGGAGGAGAAGGTGGGCCCGGGCCGGTCCGGCGGGGCCGACGTGTCTGCCCCGGCCTCCGCAGCCTGGTCAGGGCTTAGCACAGCCGAGAGCGGCCTTACTGGATCGGGCTTAAAGGCTTTGCCGTGATTCTGTGTTTTCTGTCGGTGTAGTGGTATTGCTTGGGATGGTGACTGTTTTAACTGCAGCAGCGTATAGTTTAGTAAATATGTATTAGTAATTTTGTCAGAGGCATTAGAGAGCCAGGGTGAAATAGAAGCATTTTTCCGGTAAAACGGGCCTCTTCAGCTCCGTGGCTGCTCCCACCTGACAGACGGGAAGCTTGTGTTGAAAATCACGTTATTCTTCTGCCTGCGTGTTTCACTCGCGCTCTGCTCTCGAGTGCAGAGGAGGTCAGAGCGTTCATGGAATACCTTGGCGTTGGGAAGGGCTCAGAAGGATCGCGGAGTCAGCTCCTGGCCCTGCGCAGGACAGCCCAGCAGTCCCGCCCTGCCCTGAGAGGTGTCCGAACCCTCCTTGGGGCCGGGGCCGTTCCCTGGGGAGCCTGTTCAGTGCCCGACACCCTCTGCGGGTGGAACCTTTTCCTGAAATCCAGTCTAAACCTCCCTTGGCACGGCTGCCCTCGGGTCCTGTCGCTGGTCCCTCGGGACGAGCTGCAGACCCCAGTGGGATCTGACCTCAGTCTCCATTTCTCCCGGGTGAGCACCAAGTGACCACAGTTGCTCCTCATGTGGCTCTTATGCTGGGCTTTTTTTGTCAAAAGGAGTAAAACATGTTATTCTCTTAATATCTCTGTATTTTTCTTTTTTTAATTTTTAAAATTTATTTTAATCTGCTGATGCAGGTCAGCAAATAGGTCTTTCTGTGGTGTTGATGGGGCCAAGGTAATGCAGAAATAAAGATGTATGCAGACAAAACCAAAACCTTTAAGGCAGAATGGTTGGACCTGAGTTTTCACCATTGTGCTTATCACAAAAGATTGATAATTTTTGGAAGACCATAGATGCCATGAATTTGGGCTGCATGTGAATGTAGCTTAATGAAGAATGAATGCTGATGAACAAGTAGCCTGGAGTGAAATCTGCTTTTCTAAGCCAGTTTCTAACTGAATGGTGTGGGTTTTGTCTGCCTTCAAAGATATCCTCTGCTGCCTGTGGTTATGGATTCACACTGCTGGCTTCGAATACCAGAGACATCACCAAAGTGTGGGGCATGGGGCTCAACAAGGATTCCCAGCTTGGATTCCAGAGAAGCAGAAGAGATCAAAGTAAGGATTTAAGTGTTTTAAAGGGTTTTAAGGGTGACACTGCAGTATGCCTGTGGTACAGGAATCTCCATGTGTTTGGAGCTGTAAAAAACATCAAGAGGCTTTGATGCAGTCCCAGGCTGTGCTTTATATTTTTAAACAGATCTTTTTTTCTGAAATGTATCCATGTTTTTGTGTGCTTTTAATTGATCAGTGTGTGCCTCTGTTTTGTACACTGCACTTAATTAGTTTCATCTGGATTGGAATGTAGTTGTTCATTCTGCAGAGTGTGATGTTGGTTAATTTGTGGCTTTGAATCTGTAGTTTGATAGAAGGCACAGTGTAGTTAATAAAATCATTTTGGCAGGATGGTGTGCTTGCTTCTGTTGCCTTTGCACTTAAAAACTAAAGTCCTTTAGTCCTCCTTCCCTCCCTGGTTAGAGTTTTTTTTATACAGTCTGTGGGGTTTTTGTGAAGCTGTAGGGTTTGTTTTAAATTCCTTCAATAGGTTGCATTTTGAAGGAAAAACTTGTTTTTTAGTCATTTTGTCTTACACCAGGCTCTCAAACTTATTTAAGGCAATTTCTGTGCAGAACATTGCCACCTACCACTGAAGACAGGAAAACCACAAACTTTCCTCATGGAATGGCTGACTGCATAGACATTCCTCCATAAACAGTTCAGGAAAATCACAATAAAAGCAGTTTTTGTCATTATGATGTATAAGAGTGTAATCCATCAAGGTAGGGTGTGTATGATATGGGCAGAAGATTAAACTTTGTGGAGAAGCAAAAGAAAATTGCAGCTACAGTGCAGCATGGTGAGGTTTGCAGTGGTGCTGCTTTGTGGGGCACACTGGCTAGTTCTGTGAGAGCGTGCACACGCAGCAAGTGCGTGCTTAAACAGCAGCTGCAAAATGCAGGGGCTGCACAAGCTTCTGCTCACTTCTGCTTTTAAAGGTTTCAGCTCTTGCTGGGTCTTATGTACGTGCTGATGTCTTAGGAGTGTCTTGCAATTACCTTGTTTTCCATCTGACCTGGAAATTATTTTTGTCAGAGAATCCAGAAATAGGTTAAATAGTTTTGCAGTTCAAGCCCTGCTAAGTAAGAGAGTGTGTTTGGCAAGTTGAAAATGTGAAGATCAGTGGGATTGCTACTGCTTCATGTTTAATGTTCCACCAGGCAAGCTTTCCTTTGGGATGTGTTGCTCGTTGCTGTTTTACAGACTGACTTTGGTGCCTGCTGCTTCCAACACTGTGTTGCTGTAGATGCTTCAATTCCAAGGGAATTTGCAGCCTTCTGACTTTTACATGGTTGCATCTAAACTACTGATATTTCACACTCACCCCCCTGTTCCTTACTCCTCATTGTCTCTTTTCTCCAAATCCCCTCAGCTATCAGTGATGGTTATTACAGATCCCAGTGGCATGTGTCTTTCTGCAGGAGGGAACAGAGAGAGGAAAAGGTTATTTTGCTTTGTGACTTCCAGGTGTTTCTAGACAGACAGAGAGTTGGTTGTGTTTAAGCTCTGCTCTGTTGCATGGCAGATGCCCACCATTGGTAAGCTGCCTGTTGTGCTGCCTGTGCTCATGTCCAGTAGTGTCTTATTGCAAAAGACCTTGTGTAGACTTTTAAATTTTAATTTTTTTTTTAAATCTTAGGGGTTTTTGTTGTTGTTGTTGTGGTTTTTTTTTGGTTTGTTTGGGGTTTTTTGTTGTTATTGTTGTTTTAGTTTTATTTTTATTGAAGGCAACGAGAACCAGTAAAGCACTGCTGTCTGTGTGCAATATTGCTTTGGGTCCTCCAGGATTTGATTTCACTTATTACAGTAACTTTGATATCAAGACTTTTTATCTTTTTATCATCTCCTCTTAACTATTTCCCTAGTATTGATTTACAGTTTGCTGTTCTTTCCCCCCCTCCCCCAGTTGACTGTAATTGATTCTGTGTTATTCAACTTACTAAATCTTTTTAAAGTACAGCATGTCATTTTTCATAAATGTTAGATATCTTATTCCCTGTGGGCCTAGCTAGTCTTTCTTGCATTCCTTATTTCTGAAAATGCCTGTAATCTACTTTAAGATTTTTTTGTTTACCTTTCCTGATACATTTTTGTGATTGTTGCTCTTGTACCTTGTTTGCAATATCCCCAGTTGCACAGAATGTTTGTGCATGGTATTAAGCTTTAGTAATCCAGCTGTATTCACTGAAGTGGTTGAACACGTGAGTGAAAGCCTCAGTTTTACAATTCTGCCACCTGAAGCCATAATAACATTCACTCTCTAGTTATGATGGACTTTTGTTTAGGCAGTGATTGGCTTCAGCTATCTCCATAGCTTTTATCTTCTCCTTTGCTCTGTGATAAATCCCTGTCAGCCTCTTTGGTTAGTGTCTTGGCTTTCCAAAATGTATCTGCTGTGTAACAAAGCAGAAATGAGTGTGTGAATGTACAACAGGATCAGCAAATGTATGTTAAATTTACTTTGTGGAAGCTACTGACTTAAAATTGTTCTCTTTTCCTTAAGCCAAGGGCTATGAATATGTCCTGGAACCATCTCCAATTCCATTACCACTGGAGAAACCGCAGCAGACTCGAGTCTTGCAAGTGTCCTGTGGGAGAGCCCATTCCCTGGTCCTGACAGATAGTGAAGGAGGTACAGTGTTGCTTGTGCTGGTGATCTCTGTGGGTGCCTGGCTATGCTTTTACTAAAAGCTTGAAAAAAACTGTCTTCTGTCCTTTAGAACTATATCCCAGGTGGGCTGCTTGCACTGTAAATGGGATGCAGGCAGCTGTTGGCCTTTGTGGGATTGCTTCTGTGAGGGAAAGCTGTGAGCCTCACTTGGCTCAAGTTGTAAATGTGTTGGGAGCTTTTTACTACAGGGTTTGTTTCTCTAACCCCAGGCCTGGTGAGTGCAGCCTGTTTGTCTTGTTCACTCAGATGTGTTTTTGAATGCAGATTTGGGTGACTATGCCAGTACTCCTGTGTTACTTCCCCTTTAAGCCCCAGAGTACTGTATTTATAAAAGCAATTAATTAATTACTAGTCCTTTATAGAGAAGATCCTGTTTGTGAATTGTCTCTTCACATTTCTGGGAGCTCTCTGGTGCAGTGGCTTCAGTGCAGCACCAAGTGATCCAGTGCAGCTTCTTACTGGGTGAGCTGGTTGTTTCATTGATTCCCGCTCCTGTGGGAATGCTGATCTGTTTCTCAGTGTCTTTGGCAGTGGCAGGATGAACTGGGCAGTTCCCCACTGTGACAGACAGCGGGCTCAGGTACTGCTGCTGTGCCTGAAACAATACTGCTGGCTGTTGCAGGTGAAAATTGATTCAGTCAATTTCATTCAAATGGACTTTGAAAAAAGCTTATGCCAATTTTTACATTGCTGTGCTCTACCTTTCAGACTTAGAACTGTGTGAAAATATTTTGAGAACCTGAAAAGAGGCTTTCAGGGGATTGGGCAGTAATAAAATTAGTGTGTTTTATAATTGTTTTTCAGTTTTCACAATGGGAAACAATTCTTATGGACAGTGTGGCCGGAAGGTTGTTGAAGACGAAGTTTACAGGTGAGAATTCAAAGATCCTGAACTTTGTTATTGTTGGAAACATAATTGCATGAAAACAACCCTGCAGAAAAACCTGAAGGTGGAAAAGGTCTGGTAGTATAAGCATGCCAATTAAGATTAAGGAGTCTGAGAACAGGCTTTTGTCCTGCAGGCATCATACAAACAGCCTGACTTTGAATCCACGCTGGGCACTAGCACTCTACTGACAACATTCACCAGAGACAAAAGAATGTCAGCATGGGACAGTTCTTGCAGGGCATAGTGAGAGAACCCAGCCTTCATAAATTGCTTGAGGTAATTTGTGTTAGTAGTTGGGCTTTCTCCCTTTAGCTGCTCAGAGTATGTGTGCTGTTCCAGAGGGTGTTAGAAGTGCCATTTAATTATGAAAGAGGCGTCCTCTTGTTAAGTCTCTGCTGTAGCTGCCTCTTGAGTCTGTAGTTTCCTTCATTGAGTTTTTGTGGGTTGCACCAAAGCATAGGCTCAAAGTGCTCTGTATGATAGAGTAAGTGAATAGTGGGAATATGTTGAGTTTCTGATTCCCTAGTAGGACCAAAAATTGCTCTGTCTGTGATCCACAACACTTGGTCTGTAAAGTTTGAGAAAATAGCTGTAATTAGGTAGCTTTTGTTAGTCTTGATACTGGAAGTCAGTGATTGAGTTGTTAATAATTCCTGGTATTGTGAAAAAATGACAGGGATGTTAGCCCTACACTGTGCTCTGGGATATCTGGTTTATCTCTAGCTAAGTGTAGTGTTTATCTGGGTACTGCAGTATTATGTGTGCTCATTCTAGACTAGGGACTGTCTTTGAGGGTTGCCCCTACCCCCAGTCACAAGAGCTTATATTTTAAAAATGACAGTTCTTAACTTCTTAAATAAAAGAATGTAGAATTATGTTCCTTCTTAGTGCAGGTATTTTGCAGTGAAACTACATGCAAACAAATTTCTCTACTTGTGGTAATAAAATGGCTTTCAGTAGAGGCAGGTTTACCTTTGTGTTTTTTTGCAGTCTTCTGAAATCCTCTGTGTTGCCTTTTCTCTTCTTGGTGCTTGTTTGGTGTCCAGTGGAAGCCATCTCATTCATCAGCTGAAGGAATTTGACAGCAGAGTTGTCCAGGTGAGAGGATCATCTGAGCTCAGTCCTGAAAATGGGCTGGGAAGCAGCTGAACCAGGCTCAGAGCGTGGCAGTCATTGGTTTGAAGCTGAGTTGAAGCCAGTAACAAGTGCAGTACCCCAGGGATCTGGGGTCCAGTCCTGTTCACATTTTCACTAGTGATCTGGATCACAGAGTGTTCCCTCAGCAGATAGCAGATGATATAAAACTCTGAGGAGTGGCTGATAAACCATCCAGAGGCTGGAGAAATAGGCCTACATGACCCTCATCAAGTCCAGCAGTGGAAATGGCCAAGTCCTGTTGCTGGTGAAGAGCAATTTCAGACACCACCATGGGCTAGGGGTGACTGTCTGGGAGGCAGCTGTGTGGGAAAGACCCTAGGGCACACCAGGCTGACCATGACCCTTGCTCTATGCTCAATGTGCCTTGCTCTAGAGAAGGCTAAAGATACCCTGGGCTGCAGTAGGAGGAGTGTTACATGCAGGTTCTTCTTTTCTACTCAGCCACACTCAGAGTACTGTGTCTACTTCTGGGCTCTCCACTGCTCTTTACCTGTTGTCATTTCTTTTTCCCTTTTCTCACTTTTATATTGCTTAGGAGTTGAAATTCTGTCTTTGCCTTTCCAGAAATGAGCTGTGAAACCATCCAGTTAGACTAGCCAGCACTAGGTCAGATTCCTAGGAGAGCAAGGGACTGCAGGGCAGCAGAAACACCTGCCATGGCTCCCAGGCACAGGAGCAGTTTGCTGGTCTGTCTGTGCCCCTGTAGCCATACAGGGGCAGATATTGCTCCTGTTCCAAGGAAGGGTCATTCCTGTATGCCCACCTGAGGAGACTGTGCTGTGGTTCATCCTAAAACTGTTTTGAATTAGGCTTGTAAAACTTCTATTTGGACTTGTCATGGTTTTATTTTTTTTAGGGGGATTGAATAGTTGGTACCTGTTTGTACTTCGATAATAGTGGTTGTGCACTTAATATTGGTAGTCACTTCTTAACTTGTTGACTAAATCCCTTTAATCTTTGTTTAATTTTTAATGTCTGCTTTTGAATGGCTTTTTCCTTGGCTTTAATTCGTGCCAAGCCTGTGGCAGACATGATGGCTAGTTCAACATAAATGTAGATTTGAGAACAGCTGTATGCCTCGAGCACTTACATGGCAAAGAATCCATAGCAGTTTGTAGCTGGCATCAAGAATTATGTGGTTAGCATCCTGTGATGGGAGAGCTCATTTACTCTTTGCTGCTTTTATTGTGTTGTACAGCTGATTCAAGCTTTCCTTCCTTGTTTTGGATCTTAGAACAATTCAACTGCTGCATCACTTTCCATAAAGAAAATTCTGCTGTTTTTTGTGTTGTATCTTGTGGTTCTTGGCCTTCCCTTTCTCAAGAGCAATGTGATCAGGAGAAAAAGGTCAAAATCTGAGCTGATGGACATCATAGAGGTTCATTGCTCAATTTGTCTGTCAGTAATGCTTCACTAAATCAAGTCTGAACATGTAACCTTTCCTGACTGACTTGTTGTTTGTGTGCAGGTTGTGTGTGGGCAGGACCACAGTCTGTTTAGAACCAAGAAAGGGACAGTCTATGCATGTGGATGGGGAGCTGATGGACAAACAGGTAGGAACTCCGCTCAGCTTGCTTTTCAGGGAATTGATGAATATAGCAAACTGTCCTAATTGAGAAGTTGTGATATATATTTGTCATGTATGTGTGGACAGAAAAGGGCTGCTAATGTTCCCAGTTGTGTGTAGATGTTTTCAGTACTCTTGTGTAACAGACCGAGACAATCCAGTTCATTTTTTGAGGACCTTTAGGATGCCGCCCTGGCAATCCAAGCATGCAGTTGGAGGAGAGTGTATCAGCTGTTTAAAGCTTCCAAGGGGATGTGGAAGTGACATGGACAGCTTTGCTCTTCAGTTTGGTGGCAGCTTTGCCTTCCTGATTCTTGTTTTGGGTTCTGTTCTGCTCTTTTGAGCTGACGAGCGCCTTGGTAGCTGTTGCGTGTTTTAGCATGAGATCCTTGGGCAGGCCCTTTTTGTGGTGGCTTTTGCTACAGAGAACTTCCTCCTCACAGTCATTTCTACTGTTTATTCGTTTTGCTGCTCCCAAAGCTGAGTTCTTCCCATGATTCTTTTGTGCCAGCTGTCATCTACATTCTGGTCTCTTTTCCAGGCAGAAACTTGTTGTGTAAAGTGTTTGCTTCCAAGCCTCTTGTGCGATTTCCCCTGCTGTTGTCTAACTGATTGCAGTGTGCTATCACTCATGGCTCTCCTTGCAGAAGACAGGATGCAGCCAGTTTGTGAAACTTTATCCCTGTTGGGATACCTGCCTGGCTTGGTTATTGTTCTTGTGACCACACTTTGGTCCATGCAGACAAGAGATATGAGATTCTTCAGGGTGTGATTTTGTAAAGTTGTTGTGTACTCCAGAGAGGTGGCTTTGGCTAGGGGAAGTTGTGTTTGCTTGTGTCTGCTTGTCTGTTGCAGCTGGTGGACAGAAGCAGTATGGACAGAAAGATTTATTTCAGAGGAAGGGTGATTTTGTTATAGCATGACAAAAATGGTCCTATGCAGGCATTAAAAGTGTGTCTGGAAAAAAAATTCTTCATAATCTCTACTTTTTGTCCTTTCAGGTCTTGGACACTATAACATCACCAGTGTTCCTACTAAGCTGCGTGGTGACATTGCTGGAGTAAACATTGTCCAGGTCTCTTCCTATGGGGACTGTTGTCTGGCTGTTTCAGATGAAGGAGATGTCTTTGGTTGGGGAAATTCAGAATACTTGCAGTTGGCTTCTGTCACAGAAGCCACACAGGTCAGTTGAGTCTTTTGTGCCAGTGTAGCATAACTCAGCTGTCATCTACATTCTGGTCTCTTTTCCAGGCAGAAACTTGTTGTGTAAAGTGTTTGCTTCCAAGCCTCTTGTGCGATTTCCCCTGCTGTTGTCTAACTGATTGCAGTGTGCTATCACTCATGGCTCTCCTTGCAGAAGACAGGATGCAGCCAGTTTGTGAAACTTTATCCCTGTTGGGATACCTGCCTGGCTTGGTTATTGTTCTTGTGACCACACTTTGGTCCATGCAGACAAGAGATATGAGATTCTTCAGGGTGTGATTTTGTAAAGTTGTTGTGTACTCCAGAGAGGTGGCTTTGGCTAGGGGAAGTTGTGTTTGCTTGTGTCTGCTTGTCTGTTGCAGCTGGTGGACAGAAGCATTATGGACAGAAAGATTTATTTCAGAGGAAGGGTGATTTTGTTATAGCATGACAAAAATGGTCCTATGCAGGCATTAAAAGTGTGTCTGGAAAAAAAATTCTTCATAATCTCTACTTTTTGTCCTTTCAGGTCTTGGACACTATAACATCACCAGTGTTCCTACTAAGCTGCGTGGTGACATTGCTGGAGTAAACATTGTCCAGGTCTCTTCCTATGGGGACTGTTGTCTGGCTGTTTCAGATGAAGGAGATGTCTTTGGTTGGGGAAATTCAGAATACTTGCAGTTGGCTTCTGTCACAGAAGCCACACAGGTCAGTTGAGGGTGTGTTTTTATGTGTTTCAGTTGAGCTGCTGGGCACAGAGTTAAAAATTACATGTTTCTCCCTGTTCTGGATTCTTTTGACAGCAGATACAAATACCACTAGCAGGCTGCTTTTACATAATCTTACAAAACCAACCTGACAGGTTTGTGTAGCTTTAGGGGGCAGTATATTTCCCCACTTTGATAGGCAAAGGTTTGTGTCACATCACCCCAGTTTGTTAGCCTAAGAACTCCATATTTTTTTCTCCAACCTATGGACTTTGCACCAAATTGAGACCCACCTCAAATGCTTTTGCTAATTTCAGGACAGGAATTAGTTTTTTGGCTGGCTAATAATCTAGGATTTCAAGTGATCCTACTTTGAGCATAGTGCTGATCTAGATAGCCCTTGGAAGTCCCCTGCAGTCAACCTTGTGTGCTTGTGAATTTGTCATGGACATCCTTAGTGGGTTTATAACTGAGTCCTGAACAAACTGCAGTGTCTCACAGATAAAAAGGTTTTTTGAGCAAACTGACATGGGGCGTTGATAGAGTGCTGTCTTCACACTAGGCATTGTACTACTGAGGTAATTAGGCTGTTGGTCTCATGTTACAGCTATTTTAGGAAATGGAGTCAGGAAACTAATCAATAATCAAGCTACTCTTGGCAGAAGGCTAAGAACAGACAATTTTATTAGAATAGCTGTAGCAAAATTTTAGAAAGCTTTGTTTCCTGTGCCTCTCCTGGTGTAACCTTAGTGTAGGGCTAAATGCTGAGACCCATAAGGCCTGAGGACAACAATCAGATTATGCAGTGTAGCAGTTTTCCTGGCTGGGTGTGTGAAGTAGGTCTGTGGCATCTGAAATGGATGAATCTCATTTTTGGAAAATGTGCCAGTCTTAGCTAAAATATAGATGCAGTCCAAAGTGTAGAATGGCAGAGCTATGAAAGTAAAGATTGCTCTTTACATACATCAAGCTGTGTATGTATGTTGTGTTGGACTGTACCAAATAAGTACCATTTTCTTTAGGTAATTTTTCCCTAGTATGTTAAAAAATGCCACTGCAGACTGAATTTTAGTGATCTAATCCAGTGTAAAGACTTGAAGACATGCTTGCCTATTGACTTCCCCATTGTGTCTGACTTTAAAAGCCAGGGATAAGAAGCACTTATTAGTCATTCTCAGCCTTGTTGCCATGCATGTAAGCTTTCTAGTAGGTAACTTTTTCCACCTTGTTCTCACATAATGAATTTCATGTCGATTTTTTTCTTAATTTGGGGACTTGCACTCATTTTATTATTCAGGCAATAAAGGTTGTATCAGGAATCCAGTGTATGTAAGCTTTAACCAGAACTAGAGAACAAGTTAAAATGTATGTCTAGTTTGCAGTTTACCTTGTCTCTAACAACTCTTCTGCAATCTTGTACAGGTGAATGTTCCCAGGCATTTGCCATTCAAGATTGGGAAGGTAAAGGAGGCTGCCTGTGGAGGGACTGGCAACATTGTGCTAACAGGTAAGTTCATTTCCAGAATCATTCACTTTGGTGCAAGGCTGCACAGTAGGTGGATTGTAACATTATGAAACAAGTATCTTGTTTTCTGGAAGCAGGGAAATACTGTGGGAGGAGAACTGGGAGACTGAGAAACACGATTTAAGAATGTACTAGAGGAGTTGTTTTCACTAGTGCAGAGCATTGCTCCAGTGTGTGCTGTTGTGAGTGCTTCTGCAGACTAGAGCAAGAGCATGGCAGCTGTTTGCTCTTCTGGTGTCTTTTGCTGGTCATACTGATATGGCCTATAATGAGTGTGGATATAGGGAGGAAGTAAGGCAACACTTGAGAGAAAGTAGAGCCCTTCAGACTCCACATGAATCTGACATGTTTATAAATAATCAACTAGGATGGAAAGAAGAGAGTTCTGAAAACAGTGGAACTGTGCAGCAGGTCCTTAGTGACTGTTCTTTGGACTGTCAGTGTCTGGGGAGCATAGCTGGAGGGTTGCTGCATGAAGGAATGAGGAAGGGGATTGTATTTTGTTGAAGGATTATCTCCATGTAGATGTTCATATTTATAATGGGGGTATTGTGATGACCAGAGCTTCTAATATGAAAGGACCAGAGCTAGCTGACATAGAAATTCACTCTTTCTTACACTGTGCAACTGTTGCCTTTCCCAGGCACCCAGCTTAAGGCAGAATGCCAGGCAGTGACATCCAGTTTGGGTGTGCATCAAAGAAGAAAGCCATGATAATAAACTCTCAACCTCTGTCCCATCAGTCAGTATTTTATCCAGCTCACTCTTGTGTTGGCATTATTTCCCCATGGAAGTTCTGCCTAGGGGGCTTGATTTGCTTACACAGCTTAGAAAAGATTGAGACATTTGGATGGGAATGCATTATTTGCAGATTTTAAAATAATCAAAAAGTGTTAGACTGAGTTGGAAGACAGGAAAGTATCCTTTGGTTCTGATTAACTTTTGGTTGTGGCATGAATTTCACAAGCACAGACTTTCTTACAGAATGTGTTCTTATTGTAATACAGAAGAAGGAAATGTTTTTGTCTGGGGATATGGAATTCTTGGGAAAGGACCAAACCTAATAGAGACAGCAGTGCCAGAGATGATCCCAGCCAGCCTTTTTGGCTGGTCAGACTTCAGCCCAGACACCCGTGTTGCTCACGTTCGCTGTGGCCTCAGCCAGTTTGCAGCCCTTACAAGTAAGTTTCTCATCCTGCTCTCGTGGAGAGGTCATGTTGCTGTGTTATTGACAGGAGAGAAAAACAAAAAACCAACCAAACAAACCAGAACAAATCCAAAACAAAAAGAAGCCCCACGCCCAAAAAATGCACCCATCTTTCTTGAAACTGAAGGCACACTGGAATGCAGCAGCAGGGAGCCAGACAGCACATGTACAGGTGTCAGCATGGTTCCTGGCATGTGCTTTGTGCTAACTTATGCTTTAATTAAGAAAGTGTTATTTGTCTTAACACAAAAACTTTTCTCATGCACGAAATTCAGAAGAATTTTTTCATTTTGCTGTATAGAATGAGTCAGTCTGCTGCACTTTAGCAGTTTAGAAAATGAATGTGATGAATCAACAAACTAAAACTGAGTCTAAATGAAGCTAGATATCAGAGTTTCCTGGCATTTCTGGCCAACTTGAGTTAGCAGCCTGAGGTGGCCAGATCCAAGCATTTAATGTGCAGATGTTGTGATGCTGTGCTCTGTGCACCCTGTGTGAGTTCCCAGCCTTCTAAGGGTTTGAAATTTGAAAGTCATTTAAAATCAGACAGCAGTTTCAGAGATCCAGCTGGCAGCAGGAAAAAAATGCCAGGGCTGAGTCCTTTGGGACAAGCAGTATGTGTGACACTCTCTGTTTGCAGAGTGCTTGTAAGTGGGCTCCCCTTGGTATTCAGAATGAGTTAGAAACACTGTTCTGATTAAACAGTTAATCATACATAAAAATTATGTTATAGATTGTGTTCTGGTTGTTTCTGCTGTGGAGCTGATCCAAACACTTCTGAGATGTGTTTTCCTGGGGAGTTCAAAACTCTTCAGCTCTGAACACCAATTTTTGCCTTCTCCTAGCTGTCATTAGAAGGTCACTTCTTTCAGACAGTCAAATAAGCAGTCTCCAGGTGATGGCTTGGGACAGATCTCACTGCCGGGCTTACTGGATTTGCTCTGGTGGTAGCTGAAACAGATCAACTGCAGTTTAACTTTCAGCACAAATTATTCACTTCACAAAAGATTCCCTGGAATTTCTGCTGCTGCACTCTTCCTTCAAATAAAATTCTAAAGCAGGTGGTGTAAGGGGGGGAAACAAAGACTTGTGCACAGAACTTGTTTCTTTTACTGCTCATTAGGCATAATTTTCTCCAAACACAAGTACATTTATTGTACATTGAAGTAAATCTGGTAGCTGTCATACTGCTTGTATAACCCTGTGTACTCCCAGAAACACTGTAGCCACATTTACCAGCATCACAAATAGAATTCTTCCTTTTTAATGACTGTTCTTTTCTATTTTTTTTTTCCTCCTGTGTAGACAGAGGAGAGCTGTTTGTGTGGGGGAAGAATCTAAGAGGGTGCCTGGGAACTGGAAGAATGGAAGACCAGTATTTCCCATGGAGAGTAAGGATGCTGTATTAAGGCCAAGAGTATATTCTTTGGCTAGTTTTTGTTATCCTGAGGGCAAGGATCATCATTTGCTGTGTGGTTTTGTTGAGTAATTCTCAAAGGGGTGGAAGGCTAAGATGACTGTAGAAGTGCTTTGTTTTCCAGAGGTCCTGGGAATGGAGGTATTCAGTAAATGTTTTAGTCTGCTATGCCAGTAATGATCTTGAATCCTAAAACAGCATCTGGTGCTGTGCCACCACATCTGAACAGTTTTTATCTCCTTCCCGTCCACCATCATCTGCTTGCTACCCTTCCTGCCTCTTCCTTCCCCTTCTAACCTGCTCTTCTGTTTGTATGTGCTGCAAAGAAAACCATCAGTACTGGTCATCTGTCCAAATCATTACTCACCTAAATTAGGAGAACATTTTGGTCTGTAGTGGCTGCAGGTCCACATAGTGGTGGGCTTCCTTCCCATCTGTGGTGGTGGGTCACTGGACTGACTGTCAGGTTATCCAGAAGATCCTTACTCACCTGTGTTCATAGCTGTCTCACAGTGCTTCCAGTTCCACTGCTTCCTCCCAGATGGCTCTGAGAGCCAGACTCAGTGCATGTAGAAGAGTCTTTGGTTCTGGAGTTCAGCATTCAGCCTAGCAGATGCTCCTGGTCTCCATGAAAGCCAAGCAGGAGATGAGGGAGGCAATCAGTTGGACCACCCTAGAGTCCCTGTCTGTGTGTCTGAACTTGCTGTAAATGTGTTTCTGTAGTATGCTTTCTTCTTTGTTTAAAAATGAACAAAACCAGACCAGCTCTGGAACATTTGCCTAAAATCACAGTGCTGTGGCTGGAATTTCTGAATTCATTTCCCCAGATGTGGACATTGGGGGTTATGCTCTTTCAGACAGCCAGCTCCTGTCTGACAGTGCTGTGGCGGTGTGCCAGGATCCTTGTCTGTGACCTCCTGCCCTAGAACTAGCTGCTGTCCTCTCTCTTGGCTCTAAGGAAGAACTTGCTTTTTTAGACTCTGCTTTCCTCAAGTTTGAATTCAGTTTTAAGTGGCTGATAAGTGACTAATAAGCTTCAGGAGTGAGGAGCTGGTCTCTTAGCATCAAAGCACAAGCTGCCTTAGGCTGAGTTGAGCCTTTGCCTTGTTCCAGTCCTTGCTGATGAAAGAGGCAAATATCCCTGTGGTGCTTGGGCAGATCTTCCCAATGTCCAGATTATGCTCTTTCAGTCATGCTGCTTCTGCTGCTGAACAGATGGGCTGAGGCTCCAATCTCCTCACTGTCTGCTGGTGAGCCTGCTCTTCTTTCTCCTTCCAAAGCTTTATGTGCTTCTGTGAAGGAAAGAGAGGAGTATTTCACAGCTCAGTGCACAAGCCTGCCTGGTGCTGAATCTTGCTCTTTCTGTGTTTCCTAGTTGGCACTTGCATTGGTACAAATCCCTGTGAAACTAGGTGGCATGTTGAGTGGAAGGAGGATGAGAAACAGGAAATGCCAGGTGTGAAGTACCAGCTTGATAACAAGGCACTCTGCTGTGTTTCATGCAGGTGACTGTACCCGGTGAGGTGGTGGATGTGGCCTGTGGAGTTGATCACATGGTAAGCATGGTCAGGTCTTTCACCTAGGAATGCTGCTGGGTCTCAGCACTGCACCAGGGCCATGCAGGGACTTGGTGACAAGCTGCTTGGAAAGGAAAACTCATTTTAGGAAAGCAAGTGACTGTGAGCAGTGACAGCCATAGCAGTGTCTGCGTGTGTTATCATCCCTGCATCACTGGAATGCTGTGGCCTGGCTGCAGGAAGGAAGCACATTCCCTGAGGAGTGTGGAAATGCAAGGAGTGCTCTGGCTCCTTCCTGATGAGCTCCCAGAGGATCTGAGGCCCAGCCCCAAGCTGGTGAGCCCCTCTGTGCCTGAAGATGAAGAGCATCTCCCTTAAGGAAGACTGGCATGGGATGAAATCTACAGCACAGGACATTGATATATGGACATTTCCTGTCACCAGCTCTGGAGTGTCAGTGTTGGGCAGAGCCAAACTATTTCTCAAGGGAAAAGTTGGGTGTTTCTTAATTACTGTTATGTGGAAGAGAGGTCATGCTAGGTCTTGAAGCCCAGCACAGCTGTCCTGGGTGGCCACCCTCAGCTGCACTGTGCTCAGGCTGTTGTCCTGTGCAGAAACTGGATGCACAGCCCTTGCCTGGAGGCAGTGATGTATCTCTGGGCTGTTGAAGGCTTTCTGTGGTAGTGCTAAAGACTGAACACCAAAGGAACACATTCAAAGAGTGAGAACCTGTTTGCAGGGGTAAGTACTATCAAATAAGACAGCAGGCTCTCTGTGCTACAGGAGAACAGATGGATGGTGACAGCAGCCAATGTAGCTTATTGAGGGGGCTGGAAACAAAGCCCCTGATCAGCTGCCTGCAAAATCAGTGCTCAGGCGTGGATGTGAGCAGTGCTCGCTGCCCCTCAGGTACCTTTTTATCCTTTTGCTGATCACACATGACCATCTTTAATATTTTTTTTTATTTCCTGCACCCTTTCTGTTTGCAGAGGTGTGGCTCTCAGTTGCAGTTAGCTGGGGATTTCAGGGTTGCCTAGCAGGGGAAGGAATCTTAATGGGTAAGAAGCAGAGCTTCATTCCTTGGTGCCTTCATAGCAGTAAGGTGATAGAGATGGGATGCAACAGCTGTGTGTTTCTGTGTTCCTCACTTACCCAGTCTCACACCCCATGTGGGAAACTGTCTCCTGTGAAACACTCCAAACATCAGGCAGAGTTGTGTCTTTTCTCTCTGTGTGGGATACTTGTAGTGTGCAAACTATTTTGGTGGAATCCAAGCTAGTAGATTTTTAATAAAGAGATTATAAAATCTTTATCAGTAGTAATAGGAATGTTCTTGAGCATGATCTGCTCATGCATTGGTTGGATCTACATTTGAACTGCAGCATTTTGGTTCAGTTATGTGACAGGAAACCACTTCTGTCAGCTGAGCCAGCTCCATACCTGCAGGATTTATAGGGTTGTAGTCAGGCATTGCAGCCATGGCCCCATGGCACACCACATATATTGGCTTCATTAGATGGAATTCTGTACCAAAACTCAGTGTGTACACTTTACCTTGATTAAATAAGTTTTGAAGGGTTTGCATAAAATACAGGAAAGGTGAACCAAAGGACATGGAAATAGAGACACATCTCTTGAGTTGCTGTTGATGTTCCTGTGTAACAGGTATTGCTGGGTGGGTGAGGCACAACAGAAAGCTGCTATGAAACTGGCAGCCTTCACTACTCTGAACTCCCATTTGGTTGGCTTTAATTTATGCCTGATTCTATGTGCAGCTTGGGCAACTTGCAGTGCCCAAGCATGTCTTGTTGGCCTCATGGGAGTAGGTTTACCCTTTCAACTCGAGGAGGCTTATTAAACCATGGAAAACATGTACAAAAACTCTGGTTAGAAAGGTGTTACAAACAATTCCTTTCATGGATGTTGCTGTTGAGGTGGCTGGTCAGTGCTGGCTCTCAGCTGCTCTCATTCCCAGCTGTTTCCCAGTGCATCTTGGGGCTGGCCCTTCTGAAGAGCTGGGTTCAGTCCTTGTGTTGCATTCTTGCTGTACAATAAATTGCAAATTCTTTGTCTTAATGAGATGCCAGTGAGGTCTTCAGCCCTAAATAGAGGTGTTGTATGGCTTAATGCAGTGGGGTGTTTGTGCCTTCATTATGTGCTTGTGGGCATTCTCAGACATGTTGCTTGGTGGAAGCAAGGTTAGTGGCAGTGAGGGCAGCCTGGCAAGCACCAGCACTTAGCCATGTTTTGGTTACAATGTGGGGGAAGCATTTTGATCTTAGCCAGGTGCCCCCCAACCTGCTCTGTCATCCCTCCCCCGTCAGCAGGACAGGGAGAGAGAATCTGAAGGAAAACGTGGGTTGGAACAAGGACAGGGGACCTGTTGCCATCATGGGCACAGCAGACTCACGCTGGGGAGATTATTTTATTGCCAATGAAGTAGAGCAGGGTAATGAGGAATTAATATATCTGAATAGAAGTCAAACAGTGCCTTTCCCACACATCTCCCTTCTTCCCAGGCTCAGCCCTGCTCCTGACTTTTCTACTTCCTTCATCTCCTCTGCTGACCCTTGTATTTACATGGTTGTCTGTCACAGATTCTTACTCCTTTCTTCTGGCTGCTGCTGTGGAGCAGCAGCATTTTTCCCCATTCTGAAATACAGTTCTTTGAGAGCTGCTCCTGCTGTTGCTGATGGCTCAGTGTCAGCTCAGAAAATTAAAATACCCTCTTCCCTGCCACACCCCCGTGTCTGTTGAAGGCAGATCCAACCTGTGTGGGTTATGCTCCTGCAGGATCAGGGCCACACAGGAGCCCAGCAGTGCTGGAGTAGCTTCAGGTCACTACCATTGTGAGCTGCAAAGCAACTTTGCATCATTTTGTCCTTCAAAGTATAGCAAAGTAGACGGCCCAAAATATACCAGCATCCCTAAATATACCTGCAGTGAGGGAGTGTATGGGCCAAGGATGCGCATGGGGAGCAGCCCAAATTAGAACTAGAATAACTTACTTGATTTGGCATTGATTACACAAGTGATTTGCCCTCAGATCAGCACTGTGCTGGTGTGTTTGGCTTAAAATAGCCCAGAAGGGCTTCAGGATGGTGCCATGGTGCAGAGCCCTGTGCAGGAACAGCTCCAAGCACTGCAGTGGCCCAGCAAGGTTGCCACGGTGGCTGAGGACTGCAGGAGCTGCAGGAAGGATGGGGAGAGGTTCAGTCCAAGTGCTCCTGTGCCAGCTCAGGCCTCCTCACCCCACCATCCCAAGGGGTCCTGGCAGTTCCCTGCTGGAGAGCTGAAGCCAGCATGGCCCCTGGGCTGCCCTGCAGCCCCCACACAGCAAGGCTGGTCTCATCTGGCAGCAGACTGACTGCCCCACTGGGGATAAAACACAAGAACACCTGTAAGACAAAGATTATCTTAGGCCTTGCTGTGTTACAACAGACTTTTCTCTACAGGATCCTTCAAAAACAGATGAGTCAGAGAAATAATAATTAGCCTTTGGCATTCAAAATACTCCTGAAACAATATTACTTCACTGTGCTTCATCATAACTCATAAAAATTATTTTTGTAGCATTTTTTGCAAGGGGCTGGAATCTCCCCCCATCTCCCTCCAGTGCCTCAGCACCTCCTGCTCAAAGGGGTGAGCCCGGGGAGGTGAGGTAAGAAAAACACTGATGGGAGAAGGCATCAGTGTGTTTGGGGTCTGGACACCAGTTTAACAGCCTCAGTCCTCTTATTTACCTTGAGATGCCATTTGCTTTTGTGGGGAATTGTAGGCAGTGTTGAGATTGTGTGGCAGTGTCTGTGTTGATTTATTTGGGTTTTCCTTTTACTTGGATTAAACCCTTGAGGCAGTGCTCTGCATTAAGGCTGCATTCCATATTAATAATCCTCAGTTAATTTCTTACATGAATGTTTTAACACTTGGTCACGAGAGTAAACAATGGATTACACTACACTAAAAAGGAGATGCTTGCCTTGACTGCAGTTTATGTAATGAGCTGCTTCCCCTTACAAATCCACTATAAATGGTTAAAGCTGTAATAGGCTGATGTTATGTCTGATTTCACTGTTTTTCTTGCACACTTCACACAGGTTGTTCAGCTTTTTCTTGCAGACCATGTGCCTGCCCTAAAATAGTCCATGAGGAGGCTGAGTTTGTTCCCCTGCCGCTGCTGGGGTGCAGGGCTCTGGGGGTGTCCTGCCAGGATCTCTGGGGGGGCTGCCCAGGCATCTTGCACTCTGCATTGAGCAGCTAAAACTACATCTGGCAAATGCACTAGCAGCATCCCACTGATGTCTTATTTTAAAGGAAGAGGATAGGACAGGTTTGGTGGTTTCCAGAAAAGAGCTGGAGGATGGAGATGGCAGTGGGTTCCATCTGTAGGGGTACAGTGCACCCTGAGATGAGACCTGGACACCAGAGAGGCTCAGGGATGTCTGCTGGGCTTCATAAATTGTGTGTGTGAGAGTGGCACCCAATATGGCTGCAGGTGAAAGAAATGAGAGTTACATCTTACAGACAGTGCCAAGCTCTGCTTTATTTTCATCAGTTTGATCAGTACAAAAGCAGACAGCATAAGTTTCACTTTTTATTCTTTTTCGATTTAATTACTTTACAAAGTACAAAATATACTGTCATTTATTTTGGAACATTAGGATTCTTTCTTTTTTTCTGTTTTGTTTTTTTCATACAGTACATAAATCTCAGCTTTTCAGCATAAGACCAGCAAAGAAAAGCAGCATGTGCACTTGCTGGAAAAGCAAAGCAGCCACTTCTCAGCGCCACACAATGTCCAGTGCATGATCCCAAGCTGCTGCCACCACTCCCTGTGCCTGCTGGTAGAACATCCCCCCCGTGCAGAGGTCATGAAGGCAGCTGATGCATTCAGGCTCCCCTGTGCCTTGTACCCCCAAGCTTGCAGGAACTGCCCACCCACACATGCAAGGCCTGGCCCCGCTGAGCCCATGGGCACATGGCAGGTGCAAGCAGCCTTTCCATGGCTGCAGCCCAGAGCAGGAGGTGTGCCAAAGGCCCCTGCATGGGCAGGATTCCCCCACCCTGTCTGTTTATGTCAGGTCTGGTAATTAAAGGGAAATAAATACACTTGGTTTTTCTATCCTCCCCAGTGAAAGGCTGCATGGGGTTTCTGAGAGGTGAGTAGGAAGGAGAGGCTGCAAGAGTTTGGGGTTCCCAGCCCCACTTCAGCCTGTTTGGTGTGTGTCTGAGGCCAAAAGTGCTATTTCACTTACAGAGCAAATGATACATAAATAACTTATTAAATAAAAAAGTCCTAAAGATTCGTGTTTCCTCCCCAGGCTGGCCAGCACAGCTGTTCTAAGTGGCCAGGGATGAGAGCCAGACCCTGATCCAAGCTGGGCAGCTTCTGCACCAGGAGCATCTCTGCTCTCTTGGCAGTTCTAGAAATTTGGGTTAGTGTTGTGTAGGTATGCGGAGGGAATCTGGGCTCCTTTGGAGTCCATACAAAGGGGAGAAAGAAATGCTCAGACTTGTTCAAGCCACTTGAGGCACTGATAAAGTGGTGCTGTGCCAGCCCCTTGTAACCAGCCCTGAACTGCAGCAGTGCAGTGGGGCTGTGACCTGCCTCTGTCACCCTGCAGGGTGATGGCTTGCTGAAGCTTAGCCCAGAGAAACCAAACTAAAAATCTGCCCTAAGCACCAAGGAGGAAATGAGGCTCCTCCTCCCTCTGTGCAGCTCTCCCTCAGGTTATCCCTCCTGGCTGCCCACGGTGCCCAAACTGCAGGAGCCAACCTGCCAGTGCCAGACTCACTGCAGGGTGGGGCTGCAGATGTGCCCTGGGCACTGGGCACCAAGACCCAAATCCCAGCAGCAGCAGGAGCTGCTGATGGCTGGGTGGTGGGAACAGGTGAACATGTCCAGAAAATTGAGGTGATCACCCATCCTCTAATTCTGATGGAAACATGAATGGGGAGAATGGGTTATGTAAGGAGTTAACAGTAAGGGAATGAGACAGGCTCTTGCAAAGGCTGGAACAGAGCTTCTGAAGCTGCATCCTACTGTGAGTTACTGCCTGGCAGCCTCCTCTTCTGCCTGTCCAAGAGCCATGGTTGTCCTGGTGCTTGGGTCATCAGCAGAAGTGTCCCCTCTGTCACTGCCACCCCCAGCTGCTGCAGAGGCAGTGTGGGAGGAGGATGCACTGGCAGAAAACTGTGGCTGCCACTGTGCTGAAGTGAACACCCTGCTCCTCAAGTTCATGTCTCACAAGCCCCAAAGTCAAGCCTGGAGCCACACACAAGGGAGGGATGACAATGCCTGGCCACAGCCAGCAGGGACAGGGGACACAACACTGCTGGCTGTGACACCATAGTCCTGGGCTGGAAAGAGGCACTACCCTGTGCATTTCCAGGCATTAACCTGGGCACTAATGGCACTTGGATGCAGTTCTCACACTATTATCAACAACCATTGGATTGGTCAGATTATTTTTAGCAGCAGTTGCAGGAGGATTTTGGGTGAGAGGTGAGGGCATGGATCCAGCCCAACCAGAAGAACCTAGAAGAGCCTGCCCTGGGATGCTGATTTTCTGCCATGGTATCACTGGAGCAGTTTGCAATTGGAGAACAAATAAAAACCTGAAGGAAGGAAGCACTGACACATGGGACTGGCAGGGATCTGGGTAGGTGGGGTTTGGGGAAGAACGAGGGCATGACTCATGTTTAATTCTATGATAGGACTGAAAAAATGGCTGAGGTCAGTGAGCTGGACCCGACAGTTCCTGATGGGTGAAGGAGAAATGGGGTGCTCCTCCTCCTGCAGAGCCACCTCCTTCATACTCTCAACCTCCTGCATCAGCACCAACTGACTGGCACAGGCCAGGAAAAGCAGAGGTTTGCTCCCAGGAAGGAAATGTTAAAACTCAGGATTTCTGCAAGAGCAGCCCTGGTTCAGTAGCCTGTCTGTCTGGAGGTACTGCTGCAGGGAAACATCCCATGCCCTGGGCTGAGCCCTGGTGGGAAGAGTCCTGTGCTCTGTGCAGGTTGGTCCTGCCTAGAGGCAATGTCCTGCAGTTGTAAAACACCACCAGCTCTTCAGGTAATTTCAGTGATCTCAAAAACTCAACCCCATCCAAGGCTGGCATTAGAAATTGCAAGAAACACCTGCAACAAAGGCTGCAGATTTTTTTCTCCTTTGCTCTTCGTATAGGAACCTGTCTCCTTCTTTCAATGTTCCACATGGCACACACTCCTGCTTTTGCCACTGACCACAAATCCACAGAGGAAACTGCTGCTTTTCTTCAGCAGAAGGGAAATTCCCTTTGCATTCCCTCCCAGCTGATGGGAATGGCTCTGTGTGGGCAGCAGGGACACAGAGGATGAGGGAGCTCTGGTTCCTGGGGCTCTCTCTCCCCTGAGACCTGGCCCAGAGCAGCATCCTGCTAGCCGGAGCCTGGGGCTGCTTCAGCCTTTCAGCTGACAAATGGGGCTGAACTCCTCTTTTAGGGCCCAAAGGAGCAGTAATGCTCACAGCAGCCAACCTGGCCAGTGGGTGCTTCAAGCAGCATTCCCACAAGACCAGGGAATCAGGTACCTGTAAAATGTTTTTCAAGTAACAAAAGAGTGAATAGGAATCTTCAAGCTTATTCCTGTAACTACAGAAAGCTGGTTTAAATCCTCAGGATGCTGAGAAGAAGCAGAAAGCCAGCCAGAGCAGGGGGACTCTGAACAGCAGCCTCCTATGGCATCTTCCATAGGTGCTGTGCAACAGACACTGCCTCTGCCACAGCCACACAAGGAGGGAAGAAGCAACCAGCCCCTACAAAATGAAGGATGAAAGGAGCCCTGGTTTTGGCATAACCTTTTAGGGTTGGGAGGACCCCAGTAAAACCACTGGGTCTGCCTAGAGAGGGACATGGCACCTGGTCAGCTCTCCTGTGGTACAGGCAGAGGACAGAGGGGGAATGACATGCTCCTGTTCTGCTCTCAAACATATTTCAATCAATTTCAAAAAATTTCAATCCTGCCAGATGCCTGATGGGCATCTCTGTCCATGTCTGCTCCAAAATCCACCCATAGTTCATTTACAGATATTTGCAGAAAGCTAAAAATGGATGAAAACAACACCCCCAAGGATCCCAGGGCATTAAACAGCTGTTTTGCAACTGTCCTGCTCCATGCAGCTGGGACAGTGCTGAGCTGGGCTGGCAGGGGAGGAGCTGTGTGCCTGCCATCCCTCTGCCACTCCCTTCACCTTGGCCACAAAACCTGGGCACTCTCAGCTGGGAGGAGGTGCCAGGGGTTTGTGTTCCCTTGGCCAGGCCCGCTGCAAACTCAGAGCTTGCAGAAGCACAGGTCATGGCTGCAAGAGAATTAGGGAGCAGGGGGAAGCTATTCCATGTAATCTGCAATAACAAGGTTATTTGTTAATTCATTCCCAGGCTTTGAACCTGAAATGAACAATGCTGTCTAGAGAGACCAAGAAAGGCTCCTGGCTTATACATGTTCCAAAGAGGTATTGAACCCTAAAATTCATACCCTAAAATGAGAATGTACTTTGACACATACTTCATCCATTTCCCTTCATACAGCAGGGGCTGTGCATTGCTCTGTGCTCACCAGAGCATCTGCAGAGGCTATTACTGCTGCAGCCAGGATTTGCTGATCAGCATCCAGAGCATGTCTCTCACTGCAGAACCCCTTTCTTTCCTTCACCTTTGCTAACGGGAGATGGTGGTTCAACCCAGCTGTGCTTCATGAGGATTAAGTAAAGAAGGAGGCCAAGGACAGCAGAGTAACTCAAGATTATCTTCACAGTCAAGTGTTTCCCTTCCAGGGAGCCTGGGAAGGTCCCACACCCTTGTGAGGATGTGCAGTGTTTCCACACCAGTTCAGTGCTGCCAGGATGCCTGAGGGATATTGCTGGCCCCTGACATATGGCAGGGTGCAGACAGACAGACAGATGCACTCATGGGGAGAAGGCCTGGAAATCTGGAGGCAGGTTTGCACATTTCAGCCAATGTAAATACACCCCAGTGCATGCTACAACCTCTAAATACTATTGGCAAAGGATTACTGGGTTTTACTGCTGCAAATAATAAAAGTTTAATCCAATCCAATGTTTGCAGGCAGGACTGGAACAGGTAAGTGAGATGCCTTAAGCTGCTTACTGGAGATGTCCACAACAGTGAAAGCAACAGAGAGAGAAGAAATCCTCATCAGAAAATGACTTCTTGTCCTTAACAGAATGCTGCTGGGGGACACCTTCTTTCAGGAATTAGCAGCAATGCTCAGCCTGAGGCCAAACAAGGAATTTCTCCCTTTCCATTGACAGAAAATACCAATTATCCAGTGCTGACAGGAACACTTGTGCTCAGTGAGCAGTGACTGTACCAATGCAGGACCCAGCACCTCCCATTCATGTTGCTGACCTCTAAATTAAGGAGTTCTGATGACCTGGTGCTCTTGAACAGTTGTGTGGGTGTATGGATGGGGAAAACCACAAGGGTGGAAGGAACCCTCTGGCCACAGAACCAATACCATCATTACATCAAAACGCACAGTGATTACTGGGAGTCTTCCCCAATGGACAGGCTGAGCATCAAGAGATATTTAAGTACTGGGGGTTTAGAGGGGTCATGCTGCCCACCCTTGCTGGGATGGTGTGACTGGGACAAATGCATCCTCTGGGATACTGGGCTGAGCATGGAGGCTGGGCAGGGTGGGGTGATCTGTTTCAGTCAAAAAGAAAAAAGAAAATGCTTTGGTGTTCAAAACAACAAGCAGAACTTCAGTATCTTCATATGTGCACAACAAAAAATAAACATATTAATTCTTTTGCATCACTCAGCACTCCACCTATCCCTGTTCTTCCCCTACCTTTCCCATGCCTGTCACTAAGAGGGATCTCTGCAACCCTGCACTGCCACAGAATGGATGGGTGGGACGATGCCAAGTCAGACCTAGATGCCTTCTGGAACAGAGGAGCCTGGGCTGACCCCGTGGCTGCTGCAGGTCAGCAAGGCCTGAAGCCCTGGCCCTTCTGCAGCCAGGCAGTCACAGCACCATCAGCTCACACCAGGGATGGGGTCCCTTTGTAAGAAAAAGAATTCAAGATTTGTATAGCAAAGCTGAGAAAAGACAGAAAACCACTTCTCAGAGGCAGGCTCTGATCAAGCACGTGCAATTCAGCCTTTTATGCCCCAGACAGCTTCCCAACCTTCACAGGATGTCAGAGTCACTAACCCTCATCTCACAGACACTGTGAGACTTGTGGGGCAGCCAGTGGGGGAATGTGTCAGCAGCTCATGCCTGAAGGCAGCAAATCCTGCAAATGCAGTGCAATGGCAGAGCTCTGAGCAGAGCTGCTCCCTGCCTTGCCTCTCTCAGGGGTCTACACATTCCTTAAAGCATCAAGAGCACCAGGGAAACAACTGAGTACTTGGGGAGCTAGGCTGCAGCCTGAGCAACCTCCTCTGCCACACACTCCCTTATCCTGCACTGCCTTATTTCCTCCCAGTGCTGGCAGGACAAAACATCATGCTTCAGAGAAATAAAACCTGATACACTTCTGTTGGATGCTTTGATTGGCTGAAGCCATCAGGACCTCCCAGCAGAACCTAGAAGTTCCCACACCCAAATCTGCATGGCACATCTTAAAAAGTACATCCCTGCTCAGTGTCATGTGCTGGCCCAAAGCAGGACCTGACACAAACAAGCTCTTAGTGAGAGAGGAGGATTGATTCATCTCTGACCAGCAGCCTGTGCCCTGGGAATGGTAACAGAGAACTTGGAGTTTAAAACACATTTCAGAGCAGCAGTATGATGAGTATGCTTTTTAAATGGCATTGTCATTAGGTGAGTCTACTTATGTCACCCACTGCAGGTGCCACTGTCTCTATGCTGCAGCAAAACCAAATATTTCCATTAAGGCCCCTCCCCATTAGGGAGGCTCATCCATGCCATCTAAAGCACAGCATTGCAGAAACTCCAAACAATGCCTGGAAAGAAACTGAAGGCTGCACAAACCTGTGCAAGGGTGCATTTGGGGGGGCAGCCTGAAAAATCAGCAGCTTCTAAGTGCCAAAAGGTCAGTGGCAAGGCAGCACCCCTCACCTCCCACCCCCCTTTAGTGAAGTGTAACTGAAATAGGAAAGCAGCATCTTTCCCTCCATGGATCCTAACAGCACTCCTGGTCAGCAGAAATCTCCAGTGGTGAGATGCAAAGACCACACACTTCCAGTGACTGGGTTCAAGCTGGGTTCTTCTGCTTTTAACAAGAAAAGACTCTCCAACAATTACATCTATTTAAAAATAAGCCACTGATTTCAGCTCCTCACAGGCCAACAAATGTGAATTCCCCAACAAATACCAGAGCCCTGCACTAGCCAGGGGCTGCCACTGCAGACAAATCCACCAGGGAATCAAATCTTGCACATGCCCCAGGCTCGAGCAGAGAGCCTAGCCCAGCCCCAGCTGCAGGAAACCTGGAGGAGCTCCTGCCCTGCTGGGGGAGGCAGGCAGAGCTCTGTGCCTGCAGGAGCTGGAACCCCACTGGAAACCCCAGCCAGGGTCTGGGCAGGCACTGTGCAAACAGAGCAGCCCTGCTTACAGGCTGAGGCAATTTAGGGCAGCAACTAAAACATACAGAGAGGAAAAGGAGTGGATTTCCTACAGTCTCTGTGCTTGAGGTACCAAACTGGAGAGGAACAGAATTTTCTGAAGCAGGGAGGGAAATCCAATGCTGCTCCCAGCAAGCAGAGGAGCCCCAGCTTTGCTTCAGGTCTACTCCACTGCTGCTCTTCACTAAACATATGTAGAGAAAAAGCAAAAGTGGAACTAATATTGCCCATTACTTGACTTAAAAATATATGGTGAATAAATGTGTGTATACAGAACTCACCACATAGATGCACACACAAGGGTGTGTGCCCAGAGCGCACACACATGCACTGTGTATGTGTGTGAGCCTATAGTGCCTGAGTGCACACACCATGTACAGGATACCACCCTAGAGACAAACATGGGTATTTATAGGTGTGCAATAGGGACTCACTGTGGATTTCTATGGAAACACTTAGGATGAATATTTATGCACACACTTGCTCAGTAGAAAGGAATTTGTAGTCACATTCTAACTGGGTTGAGGGAGAAGGACAAAACTCTAATAACACAGCTTGGACAGGCTGAGGCTTCTAACAAAATAAAGGCCTTGGAGAAAGCCTATCCCTTTCTGCAGGGCTGGAAACTTTTGCTTTTTGCTGTTTGGTGAATTTTGTGAGGAGAGAGAGCACGGGGAGGGGCCTGCAGCATTGAGGGAATCCCTCACTCCAGCAGCCATGGCCAGGTGGAACTGCCCAGAGCTGAGCAGGGATGCTGAGGGCAGCTGCAGGTAATCCAGGCACCCAGCCCAAGGGTGTCCCACTGAGACATGTTCCTCCTTTATCCACACAGTACTGAACAGCAAAATGTCAGGGATACTCAGATGTATTATCATAAGAAAAAAAAGTAAAAGAGTCTTCCTTTAAAAAAATGAAAAGTCTTCTTCCCCACTTCAGAGGCTGTGTGCTGAGAGTGGGAGCTGTGGAGCAGCTTTAAGAGCCCCCCTACTTTGGGTTCACTAAGCACTGGGGTGTCAGTAGTGTGGTGGCATCATTATTACTATGAAAATATTTAATGAAGCCCCTACAGAGCCCTTCCTGCAGTGTAGGTTTCACATGCAGCACTGCTGTGCAAGCCTGCATTGATCCTGACTGCAGGCTGGTGCAGGAACAAGGTTCCACCAATTATGGCCACATTTGGAGTATCTCAGCTCCCACCAGAAAAAAATATGGAAGGAATATTAAAGGGAAAGCATCAAGTTGTCTGAAGCAATCTTCTTGGATGTCAGGACAAAAAGATAAAAGGAAATAAAAGGTGAAGCCAAGGATGGTGGCAGTGTCAGAGTCCCTCAACAGCATTTTACATCCTGTGAATTTTTCAGGCCAGCTCTCCCATGTTAGGACATTCAACCTTCCTTTGGAAGGTTTGAAATACCACAGATCTTTCTACAGATTTCACAAATATAAGGCTGATTCCCTTGGGAAAAAAATTAAATTACAAAAATCAGCCTCTAAAATAGCCTGAGTGCAATGTTAGAAAATTAAAACTAATTTTTGTTGTTGTTGTTGTTTTCATTTAAGGCTCAGTAAAGTTGTTGCTTGTTTCAAGTTACTTCCTTCCTATCCAGGCTGAAGTCCTTTGGAAGCAGCACTGGCACATGCACAGCAACACTTGGTACTCTCTGATGCCAAACCTGGCATTTCCCAAAGGCTGGCAAAACCCCAGGGCAGAAGGCAGCCTGTCCTGATGACTCTGGCATGATGGCACCATCCATGCACACAGCTAAAACTCAGCCTCAACTCAGCTGAGCAGAAACCTTGGCTGGCAACTCAGCAGCTGAACAGCAACTCAACATCCCACTCCCCCCAACCCTCTGACAACATCTGGGGTGAAAAGCCACCTCTGGCCTTGCTGCCCACTCCAGCCCAGCTCAGTGCCCCAGCACAGGGCAGAGCCACAGCAAACATCTCCAGATGCTTTCAGCACTGCACTGTGCCTGTCCTTGTGGCAGGACACAAAAGCATCTTTCCAAACAAACATCCAGAGATGCACAGTGCCATATCTAGAATAAACCTTTAGTCCAGAAATCTGGAAGGAATACAAACATATCATGGGACAATTCTGAAAACTCATGCAAAGGAACAGCAGAACACATGAACATGTGCCCCAGTGTTCCTCACCATGCAAAGGAACAGCAGAACATCCTGTTTGGTAAAACATGAACATGTGCCCCAGTGTTCCTCAGCAGGGATGCTTCAGCTCCAGTAGGGCCAAGCAAGGAAAGTCATCCATGCTTTTTTCATGGATGCTCTGACTCATTGTCTACATACCACAAAACATCCCACTGGTGAAAAATCAGATTTGAAACTCAGTTTGAGTCCAGCAGCATCAGAAACCATAACTGCTTGGCCCTCCAGTACTGTGAATGCAGAACTAATTAACCAGCTCTGTGTGTGTATTTGCTTGTCCTACACACCAGTAAAAACCATGCCCATGGCATGATCCCAGGTGTTTGCTTACTGCCTCCAGATTAAACCCTGGCTCACAGCTGTATATGGCACAGCCTCAGGAAAATCCTGCCAGAGGCTGTCTCTGAAGCATGGCTGGAAAGCCCTGGGGAAAAAGGCAAGATCTGCAAATTCTTTATGTCAAGCCTGAAGTGGAAGAAGTTAAGAAATGCAAGATAAGCTGGGGCTGGTAATCACAAGAGCAAGGTCCTCTGCAGACAGCTTCTCCTCTCACCAGCCCTCGTTGCATGTCACAGTGGAGCAGAGTGCTGGCACCCACACCCTGGGTAACACTTCTCTCCCAGCACTGCTCCTCCACAGTGCTGGCAGTGGCCATGGCACAACCTGGACACAGGTGCCACTGTGGGCCTTGATGCCAGGCTCCTGCTGGCCCTCAGCCCTGGTACAAGCCAGAGAAAACACACTACTGCTTCCCCATGGCAAAAGCCCCATCATCTTCCTGTGCAGGACCAGATGCCAGCAGGTTTTAGGCATTTTCAGCACCACTTTACTTTCCCCAGGCAGCAGCAATTTCCACCTGTGTGATGAAAAACTGCAGGAGGGTCCCCACAAGACTCAGGCACCCTCCTGGCCCTAGCAGAGGGAACCTGCTCTGGCTCTTGGCCAAGGTGGCCTGGATGTGCAAGAGCAGCTACCCAGGGATCCTGGGCAATCCTTTATTTCCCCATGTGTGCACACTGGATGGGAAAAAGCCTGAGGGGACAGGAGAAAAGAGCCCTTCCTCCTCTTGCTGGCCCTGAGGAACAAGGGCTGGGGGAAGGCTCTGATGTGGGATAAGAGGACAACAGCTGTCCTGGAGCAGGGGATATGGCAGGAGAATACTCGGAACAGTGAGGGAGTGACTGGAAAACATTGACCCAAACCAGCCAAGTTTCAATGCAGACACAAGTCTGGGTGACACCACCTGCCAGGAGCTGGCCAGAGCTGAGCTCCCCCGCCCAGGCTTTCTCAGAGCAGCCAGGCTTTGACAACAGGGAGAAAGAAAAAGGGAAATGTCAAACAATTGGATATTTTCCTCTTTTCCAACACCAAATTGTTCTGTCAGCAGAAACAGAACCCTCTGCATCCTATCTCAACACAGGCAGTGATGGACAGGCCTCAGAAGTCTGATGCAAGGAGACAAGCCAGTACTATGCGACGTCTTTTCTGTTTAATTCCATATTTCACTTTGTTTCTGGTGTTCAGGGCTCTCTGAGGCAGCAGCCTGTCCATCTGCTCTTGGCCCACCCCACTGCTCTCACAGTGTGCCCAGGGCCATCCGTGCTGGGTGTCCCTGGGTGTCCCCAGGTGTCCCCGGGCAGCTCCTTCCACACTGAGCACAGCCAGGGTTCACTTCACCTCGGAGCTGAACATCAGGAAACCATACAAACTCCCTCTCCTCCTGCCCCTCATTCATAAATTTAATAAAATAACAATAATAATAATAATAATAATAATAATAATAATAAAAATAATAATAATAATAATTAAAACAAAGGCTTATTGGAGCTGTTTCTGCTCAACTTTCCACAGTCTCTTTTCATGTCACTCTCTGTAATCAGATTTTTCAAGAAATACTGTGAGAAAAAAAGAATAATAATAATAATTATTATTATTATTAGAATAATAAAAAGCATCTGGAACCAGCTCAGAAGATTTCTAATGCTTTTCAGCTTGACTGACTTGGAGTGCATTGACCACACCATTTATATTTTCTTCAGGTACCTGCAAAAAAACAAAAAGAAAGGTCATGTTCCAGCAAAAGGGGTGACAAGGAAAAGAGAGGCAGGAGACAAAGCCAGACCAGTCCCAAGGAGGCAGACACTTTGCTTGTTTTTTGCTTACACCTGAAGTAAGGGCTTTGCTTACACTGAGAAAGGGCTCCAGGTACAAGGACAGCCCTGTTCACCCATGGTACCCCCAGTGCAAACACTGAGATGCAGAGGGTTTGCTGTTGTGTGGTGGCTGCTGGTGGGAAGCCAATTATTTTGGGGTTTCTCTTTCTCTCTGCTCTTCCTGTCCCCTCCTTTCCCTTCCTTTTGCTGGTGAAGCACTTGCATGCCAGGAGCTGACTCGTGCAAGGTGCCTGTGCTGATGGATTTATGTGGCTGCCTAAGGGCTCCATGAGGCTCTCGGGGCACCCTACAGGACTGGGACCTGTAAATTGGGTGGGAAGGCCATGGTGGGTGACAGGAGAACACACCCACCAAAAGAGGAAGAGAGCTACCAGTCTGTTTGTGGTGCTTTCTTATGCAGCCTTGTGAGGAGACTTAGCCACAGAAGTCTGTATTATTCATGGTGTTTTTTTCATGCTTACTGCAAGAAAAGCCTCTTGTAACAGAAGATGCAAAAAATCTCAGAGTGACTGTCATTGGCAGAAAAGAACATCAAAAGTAAAGTTACATCTGGCAGAAAAAGTGTGTCTGAACTCTACATAAACTCCAAGACACTGGCAGCTCTTGAAAAGTGGAAAGAGGACTGAGGGAAAAATAAATTATCCCTAAGTTGCTGCAAGAAGCCAGTATAACTCATCTCAAGTAAACTGAAGAAGGAACTGTCTCCTCTACAAGGTATTTAAGGCCAAGAGTACAATACCTGGATTCACTGGACACTCTCAAGAGCTCAGTGGAAATACAAGTGCTTGTGTCTTTCTGGTGAGGCTTTTAATAAAACTGAGGAAAAAGCCCATGAGAAATAACAAGAAAAATGTTCCATTTTCCAACAGGATGATGGAATAACAGCAGTCAACTCTGATGATGTGTGAACAAAAGTAATTTGGAAAGGAAGAAAATAATCTTAAAACAAGTATACAGCAAACTCTTCTGGTTTAGAAGGAAAACACCAGGACACCTCCACCACAGGGAACAGGACTTTTGAGGCAGGACTCTCCACTGCCTCCCCTCCATCATTCTTCCCAGTACCCTCACCACTGCAGTGCAAGAAGCTGTTTGACTCTTTTCCTCCATGTAAGATAATGAGAAAAGACATAGTTATCAATTTTTTTAACCACACTCCCCTAGCCATCCCCAGTGATGCTCAGTGGGTCTCTGTCTGCTTCCTCAGCACTGGATGGAAGAGGAGGAAGCAGCTCTGGCCAGCTGTCTTTGACCTGCACAGACCCATCTCCATGAAGCACAGTGCTCCTTCACTCCCTGCAAAATGCCTGACCCCCTTAACAGCACAGAAATTATATGTCACCCTACAAATGTTTTCTCCAGGACAGATGTGCAAACAGTTTTGATCTGTAGGACCCATCTTAGTTTGCCACCAGAGGAGGAGTCCTCCCCCTCTCTGCCCCTTGGAAATGACTCCTGTCCCAAGGCAGCTGGTGCACTGTGCTCCCTTCTCAGGCAGAGTGCAGATCAAAGCACTGACCATGAAGGAAGAACCAAAACTCCAAATTACACCCCAGACACAGCTCCAGCCTCTTCAGAAGCAAAATGCTGGTGAAAGAGAGCAAGACACCTGTGAACATGAGGCAGTAAGAGCAGAGTACCTGGAAAGGCAACTCTTCTTCCTTGCTCTCTCTAGAGGGAGCTGGTAACCATGATTCTCTCCAGCCTGACCCTGCATCACCCAGGGGACATGCCAGAGACCTGGAGGTTCCCATCTCAACATTGCCTCCCAAAGGGATTTCATCTCAAGCACAAGTCCTGATCACCAGGTTAAATATCCACAGCTACAGCATGGCAGGAAGACCTGAGTACTACACTCAGGTCAAATAAAAATTAAGTAACAAAAACCACCTTAAGATGCACAGGAGAAAAAAGATCAGATCAAAGGGAAGAACACATTTTTGCACAGTACTTTAAATTGCTGACAACAGGTACTGAACTACCTTAATTAAAGAAAGGGAGAATTTAGAGAAAGGGTTCAAGATACATTTACTCCTCAAGGAATGTCACTAGAAGTCAAGGTATGTGGGTAGCAAAGTTAAAGAAAACATGACAAAATCTAAGTCAGGGTCTTGGCCAACAAAACCACCCTAAAGACAACAAGCACCCAACCCAGCCAGCACACCCAGAGAAAAGTCAGGCACAAAATGCACCTTCCAAAGGACTGAAGGGTTTGACAACTGGAACAGCACTGTCCAGGGGAAAAGGCTTTTTAAGCCATACATAAAGAAAACAGTAAGTAGCAAAGAAAAACACTGAAACACTGCTTTGAATAAGGAAGACCTGCAGACCTGATGGCCCCCCTAATACCCTGCCAGCTGCTGGGAGCAGGACCTGTGGGGCCTGGAGGCAGCAGGATGAGCACTCTGAGAAGGTGGAGCTGCCTGCAGAGTCATGGCAATTGTGTGGTGTAAGTTTTCAGCTACAGATCTATTTTAGCTGACAGGGCTGAGCTCTCCAGATATGGCTTGACATGTAGAAGCACTCTGCACCTTGTGCTCTGCACAAAAAGTGCACACCTGGGGCCACACAATGGGCAGAAATGTGAGGCAAAGCTAACAGTATTGATTTTTAAATGGTGTTTTATTAGCATATCTTATCAGCACAGTTAATATTAAAAAAAATAAGACAAACATATATAACACTCTGACCTTTGCTATCTGAAATAATATTTACTTTTACTCTTTACACACATGACCTATCAGCTGTGAACAGTTCACACCAGCTGTGAAAAAACAAAGTAATTATAAAACCCCCAAACCTGCTTTGATCTCACTAGAGCTTTACAGGTTAAAGGTAGGACCTGAATAGTGAATTTGCAAGTGATGGAAAGAGAATTTTAATGCAATAAAGGGCACATTTAAGAAAAAAAATGAATAGTATAAAGCAGCTGACTCCCTCCTTCAGGACTGCGGAAATGGGTTCCAAGACAAATGCCATCCCTTTTGTGGCTACAGGCATTGCATTTTCCCTTTCTAGGGGAATTCCTCATTTTTGAGGGTGTCTTCTCTACAAAGGAAGAGCAGAGGTAGGCTTAGAAAGTAAAATATCCATCAATATAAAAAAGGAAGAGAACTCTCCAAGGGCGGCAAGACTCTCATGTTGGTGACTGTGCTGCAGCTGCTTATGGGCACTCATGAGAACAAACATGGGAACAACATTATCTGCTTCAAAATCACCTTCTCCTGCTGTGCTGGCAATTATTGCTTGTTTATCAAAACCCAGGAAGATGCAGGGACAGCAGAGCTAACAGATGGGTCTCAGAAAGCAAAGGTCAGGACAATGCAGATACCAAGAGATGAAGGCAGGGGTCTGCTACTGGCAGACTGTCCAAAAAGTTCTCAACACACAAAGGCACCTGTGATGACCCACCCTTAAGGGGAAGGAGCACCTAAGGAAGCACCTTCCTGAGAGTCTGGAGCCTGCAACTACTTTTGGAAGCAAATGGAAGGGTTTGTGGCTGTTTCTAATAGAAGATACAGATGCAGTGGAAGGAGCTGCTCAGGGAGGTTGTGAAGTTTCCATCACTGCAGGTAAGGACTGAGAACAACACTCACTAACACAGCTTTGCCTTGGGTAGGGCCTGGCTTGGTTCAGGAGCCTCTCACCCAGGGCAGGAGGCTGAAGACTGGAGTTTGCTGGGCTACACTGGAGGCACTCCAACAAGCTATCCAGATGAGAAGTGACATTCTCATAATGTTTTCTCTTAAGGAAAAGATCTCCCCCACTCCAGTATGTATTCATACTCACCAAGGCGTGATCAAACTTAAAAGTACTGATGTAGTAGGCTGGGATGTCGGCTGCGGCCAGAGGCTCAGAAATCTGAGCGACAATTCCACATTCATCTGTGGGGAGATAAAACACCAAACATTGTCTGGAGGGGCTTGCAAAAGTCTCAGAACTCAACAGCTCCAACATAGCTTTGCCTTGGGTAGGGCCTGGCTTGGTTCAGGAGCCTCTCACCCAGGGCAGGAGGCTGAAGACTGGAGTTTGCTGGGCTACACTGGAGGCACTCCAACAAGCTATCCAGATGAGAAGTGACATTCTCATAATGTTTTCTCTTAAGGAAAAGATCTCCCCCACTCCAGTATGTATTCATACTCACCAAGGCGTGATCAAACTTAAAAGTACTGATGTAGTAGGCTGGGATGTCGGCTGCGGCCAGAGGCTCAGAAATCTGAGCGACAATTCCACATTCATCTGTGGGGAGATAAAACACCAAACATTGTCTGGAGGGGCTTGCAAAAGTCTCAGAGCTCAACAGCTCCATGCCTACATATGGAGAAGTTTGTCTTCACAAACTCCAATCAGAAGGAATCTCTGTAATAAAATGTGATCTTTCTCACAAAATTAAATTTATAGACCACAACAATACATTGCACATTTAGTTTTATTACCTTCTTTTTGCTACAGAGAAACACACATTCTCCAAAGGCACAAAACCATTAGAACTGGAATCGTTTAGAGGTCCAAAGAAAGGCACTGAACAATGTTCAACAAGAAAGCACAGAGCCCAGCCCCATATATCCTTAACATCCATTTTTCTCTGTTATTGAACACTTGGCCCTGCAACTCTGAAAGAAGAGATGCTGACTGGACTAAAAGGTGGCATGGGAATTCATTGCAGATTACTGAAATCAGTGGTCAGAAAGCAATGTCATACTCCAGTGCAGTGCTTGGGTAATTCTGTGATTCTAGTAGACTTTTTATAGATTTATAGCAGTCCAGTTTTTCTTTTTAACCAGAGCCCCAGCTGTAGCCACCCCCAAAGTCCAGCAGATGAATGCAATGCAGCTGGAACTGTTGAGCATGTAGCACTTTCAGGAGTATATTCAGAAGTCAAACTTAATAGAAGTCAGGCTTCTATTTGAAAATCTCAGCTCACAAAGTCATGTTAAGCTGCTGGCTTTTAAAAAGCATCAGCCTCAGATGGATTTTTCCATACTCCTTGAAGGCCCTGAGGTGACTGACTGCCTGCACACCAACTGATCCTCCAAATGTTACTTACCAAAGCCAAGAGGCTGCCCACCAATCCTCACCATCTTCCAGAGCTCACCAGATGCACTTGTAAACAACAAATTATTAGGAAATCTGTAAAAAAAAAAAAAAAGGAACACCAAACATAGCAATTAAATCACAGCACTGTGTCAGATTCTGCCTGTGGGAAATCTGCTCTTCCTGCATCCTTGAGACGTTTGAAGCCAACAATAATGAGGCAGTAGCTTGGGCAAACTGGGAAGACTCAAGGCAGGTGGGGCAGATGCACCTGCCTGATCCCCCAGTATCCTATGGCAAATCAGCAACTCCTGCTGGAGGTGGGGATAGGTACCCAGAGAAGCACAGGAAAAAACTCATAAGCAACAGGCTGTGTCCCAGCTTTACAAATGTTGAAACTGTGAAGGTTTGATTTGAGCTGCATTTGGAAACAGCTGGGGATGGAATATGTTTCCATGCCTGCTCTCAGGAATGTGAAGGGTAACCACTGGTTTTATGTCTGAGCACCATCAGTGCTTTTTTCCATCCCATTCTGGGAGGTGCCTGGGACCACTGCAGAGGTCTCTGTTTCTTAGCAGAGGGAAGGAGACCCGAGGTTAAGAGAGTTACCCAAGGTGAAGCAGGCAGCCTGTGAGAGAGAAGAACTGGCTCCCCAGATTTCCCACACCCCAAGCTGAAGCTCCAGCCCTCTGGCTCCTCTTAAGACAGACATCTTACTGCAATAAGGTCAAAGAAACGTTCAGGAGGGCAATTTATTACTTTGAAAAACAAGTCCCTGGGGCAGGGGACTTGCCCCAAGAACCAAACCCAAACTGCACTGCATGTCAAAAGCAAATCTAAACACTGCTGAGTACAGCATCCCTCCAGCCTCCACACCTGAGAGCCTGCTGTGCTGCACAGCTGCAGACACACACACACTGAGGCTGACTGCTCACCAGCTGGCTCCTTCCTTGCTGGACAAACAAGTCATGGGCTCCCACTGCACAGTGATGACTTGGGACATTATCATCATAACAAGACTCCAAACCAAGCCCAGCCATGTGTAAAAGCAAAGCAGTAGGACAGCATCACGGACATCCCCACCCTGATTTTGGCCTTTAGCAGGAAAACTTCAACACCTACACCAGGTTTTCCTTTTGGGTTTTGTTCTTACATGCACAGCTAATGAGCAACAAAATAAAAATGCAAAAAGCACTTTGCTCCAGTATTCCTCTTCTGAAAGTGAGATAACTCTACATCACACTGGTTTGTGACTTCACTGAGGGATTGGACAGACCAGTCCAAAATTTAGACACTGGAACTAAAATGCCAGATTTTACTGAGAAAAGTGACAGGGTGTACAGGCCCATGACAACCATACAAGACAGTCCAAATAATTAACACAGAGGAGTCTAAGCTGCTCCCTGCTCCTTTGAGATCATCCCTTTTTTTTAAGGTCCAGGTTACTCTAAGATCAAAGCTCACCTCTGCTGTGTCTGGACATCCATGACCAGGGAGATGTAACCCTCAATGAGAGAAAAGGAGAAAAAGCGAATATGTCCCGAGTCTTCGTTGCCCACCACTGAGTCTTTTACTCTGGAGAAACAGAAGAGAACTATATTAACTGTGGCTAGAAGAGCACAAAAATAGGTTTTTAAAGCAGATATAGCCAGTGAAACCAGAAATGTTCTTACACTGACTTAGGGAAAGTGACACTGAGTTCTGTTGTATCATACTGATTTTTTTTATTTTGCAGGTGGAAAACTATCCAGTCCCCACAACTGACAAAACTCTCCATCCCTTCCTCGAGGTCACCTCACAAGAAGCTGTGGGCCAGGAGCCATGGGCACCAAGGGGCAGCAATCCCACCAGCTGTACATGCTCTGACCCTGTGTGGATATGCAGCACACTGACCACATGGCTACTCACTCTCACTCTGAAAAAGCTCAGCTTTCCAAAGCCAGCAGATGTCTTGGGCACCCTCAATCACCTGTTCAGCTTCCACCCATCAGGACAACCCTCTTGAGCCTATGAAACCTCCCTCCCTCAGTACAGAGCACCGGAGCAGCACAAGACCACAGCAGATCCCTGGAGCAATCTGTGCCTCCAGACACTGGGCACCTCTCCTGGAAGCCCATCTCCCTGCAGGACCTACCCATTGGAGTAAAACATGACATCCATCAGGAGTGTAGCAACAGTGGGAAGGGTATCTGGATCCAGGCTGGTGACACAGAACATGTTACTTGGGCTGGAAAGAGGATGAATGACAGGCCTCTGAACTGAAAGAGACACACACAGACACACACAGCTGTGAAGCCACATCTGCAGCAGGCTCCTGTCCCAGCAGCTGTGTTATCCATGCCCTGGCAAGGGTCACAGAGAAAGCTGACAGTATTTGTAAGGCAGTGCCTCATTGCTGAAGCCCTGCTGGCTCTCAGACAGCGAATGAGGGGCCTGTGGACAATCTGCTCCTGTGCTGGTGTCCCTAAGGTATAGGGTGGTGTTACCCTGCATACCCTGCCCAGCTCTCTGCTCTGAGGGGCTTTCAGGCCCTTGGGTGCATCCACATGACATGAGGGGCAAACTAAATGAGGGGCCAAGAGAAACTGAAAAGTGGAAAAAAATGCAGGCTTCCACCATTAAAAGGCAGGGCTATGGAAGGCTGTGGTTGCTGGCAATCCATCCTGTTTTCCCTTATTTCTGGGAACCTTTTTTGCCATAATATCTTGAAAAATTGAAACCCAGCAGCCACGCAGCAGTTTGTCTAACAGATTGCAGCCAGTGGCTGAGAAGCAGCCAGCATTTAGGCATACAACCAATAGACCAACACAGCAAACTGTGGATTGGTGCATTATCAACACGTGTTTCACTGTGCCCTTCTTGATGCTTTTCTTCTTTAAGACTCATTTTCTTAAACAAGGTCATTGTTAGCTCTTGAGTGATGAAACTGAGTGGCACTTCATAATAACTGATCCCTGCTTTGCCTGGTTATGGGCAAAAAATTACACACGTCTGTAGGCAAGCATATGTATGTAAGTTGTTCCTTCTTCTGACTGTGCCCTTTGGCCTGCAAATATCCTAAGGTTCTGTACAGCCCTGGGCTCATTGTGGCCTTGATCCTCACTTGCACTGAAGTGTGAAAGCTGAAAAACAATCTTCTCTGTGCATCACTGCAATCCTTAAACAAGCTTTTAGAGAAGCCATTTTCCTTTGGAATGTTGAAGCATGGAAATATGGGCTACAGACAACATTATTTTTGCAACTGCAACAAACTGTACTTTAACTTTCTGTCCTACCAAAGGCATGTCTTCTCTAGAAAAACTAGCATTAGAAGGCCAAAATTCAGCCAAACTTAATAGCACTGCTCAGAAAGTTAAGAACCTACTGAAATCCTTGGTTGTACTTGAGAGAAGCTTGTAAGATTATAATCTTACAAGAGGATAAATATTCACCCAAATGCTGAAGGAAGCTTGGAGGCAGAACTTCCACACCATGTGTCAGGGAGCTCAAATCCCTGGCAAGCTGAGCCTGTGCTGGTCCTTACCTAGTTTTGGTTTGACAAATCCATTTGTTACCCCAAAGTCATCAGCAGCCACAGTCTCCCCATTCACTACTCTGAGGATGGTGAACTCGGCAGCCAGCGTGTGCATCACGAAGGGCAGGTCTCGCTCACGCACCTGAAGAGGACAACAGGATGATCTGGTGATGGTATTATGGAATTATTTGGATATTTTATATTATGGTATTATCTGGATATGCACCAGAAATGACAAAACACTGCAGTGGAGGGTACACACTTTTAGTGTACAGCAAAGTGGACATGACTCCTGCTTGAGGCAGTGGATAGTTACCATTTAGGTGTATCTTAAGAGAAGTGATACTTGGTGGTATCACTGCGACTATCAGTAGGATTAAGCACCAGAGTGCTTTTATGACTGTAAAAAGAATGTGGAGATTTCTAAGCAGGAGATGTTTCACCTCTTTTCCAGCATTGCTGCAACAACTTAGCACTGCCTGTTCTTCAGTCTTGCTTCCTTGTGTGCAAGCACACACACTTGTGTGTGACACAGAAAGACAGTCTGTCTGTCTATAACCAAAACAACTTTGGAGCCTCTTGGCCATCACCAGCCAACATGACAGCAGACATTGTGTTCCTCTAACTTTCATAAAACCAATGTCTGAGTGATGGTGGGAAGTGCTACCAGTATCTCTATTCCAGGAGACACTGTTGTGTGGGCTCACCACCCATTAGACACCAGACAACCCATGACACAAATGCTTCATCCCATGGCAAAAGCTCCTGAGATGTCAGAGTGTCAGACTACAAGGAACAGAGCTCTGGGGAAAGCAGACTTTGGTACTTTTGCCACTCCCAGACAACTTGTTCCCAGAATTACCCAACTGAATTTTCATCTGGTGGCAATAACTCTGCCTGGTCCCCTCATGTCCTCTTACCAGGATGAAGTCCGTCTGATAGGTGGAGAGCATAAACACTGAGATGTTTTGGTCAGCTAGGGGTGCTATGACTGACTTGGCAATTTTGGTCACTCCGATGGGCTGGGAGCTAGAGAAACCACCTCCACCAGACACCACGTTGAGGGCAAGCCATGTTGCATCGGCCACGCTCAAGTGCTCCGAGGAAGGAAGCTCTGCAGAGACAGAAGGGGAGGACAGAGGTTTGTTTTAGAGGCAGAGAGAGCCAGGTCCACTATGTGCCAGTATGTGCTTAGCATAGACCTCAGTGCAAGGAGTGACATGAGCCCCCTTATCCCAACCTCCTGGCCTTCCCATGCTGCTCCACAGGCTCATACTGTGACACTCCTTCACATACTGATTACATCAATTTCCAGGCAGGATTCACACTGATTGTCAAGGACAACACAGGGAACTGAGGTGACTCAGCATTCACTTGAATGCCAGTGACCGATTCTGTTGACCTCCCAAAGGGGAAACAGCTTGTGGTGGTTGTGGTTACAAAAGGAGAGTGCCAACAGTGGGTCTAAACAAACAAAATGCATGGTGCATTCTACTCCCCTCTACATCATTCCTGACAAACTGTTCATTACAGGTCGCTTGCAGGAGCTGCCCATCCCACACCTGACACCCCAGGCTACAAGCTGGGTGTTAGATAAGGGAGAAGCAGCAAACCCTTCAAGGCAGGGTAGTGTTTCTTCTTCACACCAATGACTCAGCTGTGATAATTCCCCTTTGGGGAATCACCAGCACAATCACACCCATCCTGAAGGGGGGAATCTCTGCTAATGGGCCATAATGGGCACCACCAGAATAGGAGTTGTAACTTCGACCATCAAGAGCTACCCAAAATATCCTATGACTCACACTATTACATCACTCCACTGTGAAGCTCCCTGCCTGGGGGAGGTACTGAGCATTCCTGCCTGAACCTGAGCTATATAATCTCAACATTACCACCACCACTGGATGGATCCAGAGGACCAGACCTTCCACAGGACCACGGCATTTGACTGCAACCATGATTTGACAGGACCGTGATCAGCACCCTTCCCAACAGGGTGCCAGTTTTCTGTGTATCATTGCATTTATTGCAATCTTTCTACTAAATTGTAACTGCAACCTGGAATCTCTCTCAAGGTAATTCCATGGGGATTCTCCAGCCGGTTTACTTTCAAAGCAGCACAGTGGTCTTGGACTTAAATCTCTATCATACAATTTCTCCAAACATTTTACTCAAGCTGTTCTGGCCTCTTTTGTTTCCGTTTTCCCACTCTAAACCCAAATTTTGTACTCCTGGACTGCAGATGGAGATTGAGAGAGCAGCCTGGGCACTATCCCTAGTCTTTGAAGATGCAGAGCAGGCACCCTGTGCATCTGTGGGCTCCTGCCTCCATCTCTAAAGCAGAAGACCCACACAGCTCTGCAAGGGATGGATAGTGTAACACATATACTAGGGATTACAAAGTAAGCACATACTAAGATAATGCAAATTACTTTGGAAATGGAAAATACCAAGAATAATCCCACTCCACTTGCTTCTGATCTGTTGCGGTTAAGTAGTTAAAAATCTGCAGCTAAACAATTTAATACAAATTATTAACTGTTTTAAAAAACACTTAATGTATTAACAACCCAGAAAACCAGATGCAGACTTTGGAATGAATGCATACACTGCTCTAGGATTCTCTGGATTTTTGATTTTTGTTTGGCAAATTATAGAAACAAACAGTTCTGATCCAGACTAACAAATGCATAAGCCCAGCTAAATCTACTTGGGGTAAGGAACCTGATCCCAGATGCAGATTCAGCCAGCAAGGACATAGCAGATGTGCCAGAGGAGGCCTACACATTCAGCTCAGAGGTGAGATACAGCCCAAGAGCCTGAAAACACAGACCCCAGCATTGCTGCTCTTGCAGTCAGCACACTGGCACTTTAGGCAAGTGCTTGCATGTCTCCATGTCCACACACTCCAGGCTCCTCCATCCTTTCTTTCTCCTTCAATGAGACCTTTAGGAGTTGTTTCTGTACAGCCCCAGATACCGTGTAATAAATTCCTAACCTCACCCTCTCTGAATCCTCAGGCATCACTTCCCTGAGACACTGACAGCACTGAAAACCCAAAATGATCTGAATAACAAACACATTTTGCTCTCTTCAATAACCTCAATTGTGTGTGGCATGAAAACAACCCTGAGCATACACACTGCAAACAGTGGGGACACTGAGGGTTCTGCTTCTGCATTTTGATGTTTAGCTTCATAAGCCAATGTTTCTTTTTTAATAATCAGAGCTTACATGGGATGAAAACTAGACACCAGGGAGAGGAGGTAAGTTTGTGCATTAATCAACAGCATGTTATGTCAGAGAGATCTGTGCAAGGTGCTTGGAGCAAATTATTGCAGCAAAATACCATTTTATCACCAGCCCTTTGCATCAGAAAAACACCTCCAAATCCAAGCTTTCTGCATCACCTGGCATGGAGAAGCTGGAGCTCAAAACAACTGCTGCTGAGCTGCATATGTTGCAGGGTCCTGTTCTCACCAACTGATCCCACCTGCAGCAGGCACATCCCAGGTATGCCCAAACCCACCAATGACTCACTTCTGGCAGCGAGATCACAGCTCACTCCCTGCTCTATAAACAGAGGAGATAATATTCCTGCTTTGTACAGGTGATAAGGACTGCAAATCATTAAATACCAGTTTGAACACAATTTTGGGCCAGGGATGTGATGGAAGATGCAGTATTTTGTGGTGGAGAGAGGTATTATCCCATTTCACTCCAGCAGCAGCTGCGCTGGATGAGCTGCCCCAAGAAGACCTCATCAAGCTCTTCCTCAAGGGGAAGGAAAGCTGATTTGCTCATTGCGAAATTATTACGAACGAAGTGTTAATAATTTCTGGGTTTATGTGTTTAACAGGCCCTATGAAGTGTGACAAGGGCCATTGCATTTGCATTAAATAAGCCACATGGGATGGTGCTTTGCCCAGGAAGCTGTTGAATGCTGTAAACCCAAAGAGAGCTGAGAACACCAGTTGTAACATTAGCACAGACTCACGCAGAACAAGGTTATAAATAAAGAGCAAAATGAGGAATTGCCCACATTCCTGCACCAACTCACCAACCCCACCACTTTCCCCACAGGAGAACAGAGCCTAGGCCCCCAGAGCTTCAGCACTGCCACATCCCTTGTTCTTCCATTGGGCAGAAATCTTTCTGCTGGGCTCTCAAGATCCTCTTGCAATTGGTTTATCAGAGCACAGTCACTCCCACTTCTGATCTTGGGGGACATCTCAAGTCTGGCTGAGAAAGACCTCCAAATGGTCAGAGATTTGGGATTTGTTTATTATAATCAGGGTCTTCATTTTGACCTTTCATTGGGATGAAGCCTTAAGATTTTTCTGGTTTTGCTGTGTAAGGCTTTGCAGAATTGATAGCAGAAGACACCAGGAGCAGCTCAGCTGCCCGCAGGCCTCCATAACCATCATTTGCTGCCCAACATGACAACTACCACAGTCTGGAAGAGCAGAAATCCAGACTCAAGCTGTTATTCCATCCATGGTCTCTGGCATGGAACACCACCAGCCTCAACAAGATGTGATCATTGTGATAGTCCAAGATGATTTTCCCTGGCAATGCAGCACTGGGTATCAAGTGCTGGTGGTCTCCAAAAGCCTGTGGAGCTGCTCTCCATTGGCACAGGTGCCAAACTAGTGCCAGTCCCTGTGCAAACCAAACCCAGCCAGCATGTCAAATAACATTTAGGATGTGAGTAACTGCTTATTCACAGTACAGCTGATTTACAAGGCATGGAGTATGTCCAGAGCCTCACTGGCAGCCACAGTTGAAGTAGAGCAGTCTCCCTAGCACATCACCCTGGAATGTGAGGTGGTGAGTATCACAGTGGCCATAATTGGCTCCTGAACTCCAATAATCAATACCATTTCCAAGGAAGACAACAAACATTGGCTGAATCCCAAATAGGATTGAGCTGCTGCTGCTGGAGCATTATGCAATGCTGTAAATACTGTGAGCTGCTGCTCCTAAAATATCCTCGGGAGGATGCTGGGATGATGATGAGATTCCAGCCCATGGGTCTTTGCAAGCAGCCAAAGAAGTTACAGAGAGCAGGGAAGGAACATCTCCAGGTTTAAAACCCTGATCAGAGTCAGTCTGACAGTGTCAGTCTGCACAACATTAGAAAAACAACATTCTTTCTGCCTACATTTTCTATTCTGAAGACCCCTCAGTTTCAAACACCCTGCATAGCAGGAGGCACAGCACTGCGAGAGAGCCCTACCTCTCCAAAAGAACACTGGAAAATGTTCAGAATGCCCTGAGAAAGGGCAACACCACCAGAACATTTTTTCCTTTTCTGCACCTAGTTTAAATGGGTTCACATTTTCATGAAAAGTTTATAGCTAAGGGAGAAATAACTGGAAAATGCACAGTTCCACAGCAGAAATGCATTTCACCTACCCACACCAATAGCTGGGTGAGTCCTGTACTAAAACCTGCTAATGCCCTTCCCCCCACAAAGACACTCTGAATTGTCTTCTGTGGACTCTTGCAACTTCACAGCAATCAGACACCTCTCAGCTTCCAAGTGAAACTGTAGATAAACCATGGATTTTTCATAGTGCCTGGTGAGAAATGAAGACCCTCAGCTGGTTTCCTCCTTTGGTGTGGTATGTTGGATCATCTCCTAAGCACTTATCTTCACTCAGAACACAAATTTTTACATTATAGCAGAGTGCTCTGAGTGATGTGTTACTCCCTGGTTTATTCTGGTACTCTGAATGAACCAATTGCTCATTTGATTCATCATTATGAGACTTATGTTTCCAGCCACAGTTAACTCCAAATATTAAGAAATAACGAAATGAAAAAATATTGTGGACTTTCTGATCAGTGCTCTGGCTTTAGAAACCTCACACTGTACTTATTTCACCTATTACAGTTTCCCTCTGCAAAAATGGCAGGGAGAGTCTGGCTTGCACTAAAAAGATAGAGAAAAAGGCTCCTGCAATAACAGGACCCCAGTAGTAAGTCATTAAAAATATAAGTGCTGCCAGCTGCAGAAGACATGATAAATTGGGAGAGCTGTTGCCCAATGCCACCAGGTAGCAACACAGTTTATATGTATCTATATATTCAATAGGATCTTTATGT